ATAACATGCAATCCTTGCCTTTAATCAAATTAATGCCTCTATGAGAACATTCTAAAGTCAAATTCTGACCCAACTGTTGAAAGTAGAATGTTTAAGTAATCTGATGGCACTGTTCAACTTTTTTTTTTGTTGTTAAATACAAATCACACCAGTTCACTGTACTCAAAGAATATACTTCTACAGAGCATTCTTCTCTACCGTCATGACTCTATCATCTTGGAATCACTGCACATGTGCTGTCACCCCACCCATCATTCTTCCCAAAGAAAGCTGAAAGCCTTGGATGCATGCTTAAAGACCTATGCAGAAAAAGCCGAAAATCAGTTGGTTGGCTAATATCCCCTGGACTAAATTAAAGTCTGGATTCTATTCAGGTGTGCCTGTTGACAGCATTCAATCTGTTTTAACAGCCTTCAGGGTCAAACCAGGAGAATGCTAAGGAAGTAAGAGAAATGGGAGCTCTGTCCACTAGAGCCCACACAGTTTGGACAAAGTTACAAAATAATCTTTTCTTATTTCAAGAAGTGGGAATGCTGAATGCAGTTCCAACAGCAGGTATAGGGTTTCAGAGTGCAGACTCAAGCAAAGCAGCTGATGAGAAGAGGGCAGTGGTCAGGATGGATTTCAGCTGCTATAACCTTGAAGTCACCAGAGAAATCGAGGCAGCTCTAAGACACTACATTGAATGAGAGAAAACAGCAGGTGGTAGAGCTGAACGTCAGACACTCACTAGAAATGGGTTGTACTATGCTGTTTTGCTTTTGAATGACTGAGAAAATCTCTGGCAGCAGTGATTGTGACTGCTCATGCCAGTGAAGATAACAGAGAAGTTGTCCAAGATCCAAGAGATTGCAATTTTTGGCAGTATAACATTAAATTATTTTAGAGTTCTCTCTGCATTGTTTATATTTCACCTATAGCCAAAATTAAAAAAAAAAAAAAAAAAACACAAGCTACATCAGATCCCAACAAACTAGGAGAGCAGAAGCATTCTGCCAAAAAACAAAGGGAACAAAATCATAACCCATAGAAGCAAAACAGAAGATTTTGATGGGAACTTGCTCCAGCAAAGATTTTGTAGTACTGAGGCACAGGAAATTCTCCAGCAGAAAGATACATGCGTTGGTGATCAGACTTAGGTGTGTTGTCTGCCAGGTTGCTGCTAGCTCTAGTTAATCCTAGGTACCACAAATCTTGCATCATACAACCCTTACTACCAAGGCTGCACTGACTGATACCAGAATGCGTGGCTGTGAGAAATTCACATCAGGCACATAAGACCAGACAAATGCCTGGGCCTAGTAATGTTCAGTGGAAACAAGGGTAGCCAAGGCTGTAGCTATCCTCCCCTGCAGAATAAAGACCTTCACACCATCCTGCCATGCCATCTGTGTCACTGAGACTCAAGTTAGATCTGCTCTTGCTAATTAAGTGACTCTCACAGCTGAGATGGCACAGCTAGGCTGGCCTTAACTTGTTGTGAATACTTTTATGGCTGTGGTAACAAACAGTTCAAGTGAAGCTGCAAAAGATCTGTAGGAAGCGAAGATGTTACTTGGGTAGTTAGCTCCACTGAGTTCTCTACTACTCTGGGTATATTGCAATCTATAAACAAGTAAGACTTCAGCTCTAAGCAGGCATCAAAGCATGACAATATCACACATTTCTTTATATTTGTTCAGGGTCAACAGTAACAGTTCCCAGCACATAAAAGTACATTTAAAAAAAGGGTATTATTTATGTCCTGAAAAAAAAAAAAAAACCACACCATTTCTCCCTATATTAAACAGTTCACTGCAGATGAGTACGAGCTAGTCAGACTCAACACATTTCTTAATTATTCCTATTACTTCCTCCCCCAGTTCTGATACTAATCTTACAGTCTGGTGGACAATTTAATACCCACACATAGTCTACCTGCAGTATCCTCCAGAGAGCCAGCCCGCTCCAGAAACCCAGGCTCAGAACAGTGATGAGTCTCCCTCCTCCTGCTGGTACACATCCTGCCATGCAGGTGGGCTCTTATCACTGAGACACACAGTTTTCCCAGACACAGAAAGAAATGAATGACATGTTTGTGCAATGTTTCCTATAAGCCAAGTAGAAACATCAAGAACACAGCTCAATACAGCCATAAGCTGCAGTGGTCACCAAGGAATTTTCACCCTGGTTACCTCTTACAGGCTGAGACCAGTAACACCAGCTTCCCCAACCAGTCACAGGCTATCTTGAGTTGGAATGGATCCATTGAACCCACCCAGCTCCTTTTCTGCACTAGAAAACTGTCTTGTCTTGCCCACTTGAGCCATTAGCCACAACAGCAGCACCCTCTTGGGTGCAGCAGTCCACCACAGACACATGTTCCAGTCCATCACAGTGTCCCCTTTGTGTGTATATATGCCTCTGGCACAGCTAGGCTGAAAGTGCAAGTCTCCACAAATGAACAATGAGGAAAAGGTAAGAACTGACAACAACCTTAATGCTGTGGGAATTTTATGCAATTTTTTTTGTTTTGTTTGTTAAGCTGGAATCTACAGCTAGATTTGCACATTTGCAGTAGTTGGAATTTATTTTAAGGGAAACCTATACAGCTCATGAATTATCTCTGAATTCAGCAATTTTTACAGCCAGGCTTATAATAATTACTTTAAAGGTTATACAAGTTCAAAAATACCTTGACAAATCAGGGAGCTGCTTAAGAAAGTTTTTAAAAAGAAGAATATTAAAAATCAAAAACATTGCTCAGCAGCAGTGACCAAGTTTATTCAGTGAGAAGAGACACCTTCCTAGGGATAAAACAATAAAGAATGTGGCCATGAGAAACAAACTCCACGAAACAGGTGGAAGTAATCACTGAACTTTGAGTACCAGCTTACATTTCCTTCTACGTAAAGTAATACTTACAACTTGAAATGAAATAACACTGCATTTATGTGAGTTCTTCTCAGTGTTGTATTTCAGAAGGGAGGTTCTGCCAGCCCAGTCTTGATTCCACATTAAAAAAAAAAAAAGTCACAGTAGTGCCCAGGAGCCCCAATGGTCAGCAGCTTTCCTCACTGTGGTAGGAGCGTCAGTCAAGGTGCACCTTTTACCTACACGTAGCAAAGCATTATATGAGAGAGAACAGGCAGACACTGACACACAGCTGAAACACAAGGAAACAGATGACAAATGATCAATTAGGACCACTGTCCCTCAACCTGCTTCATTCTCTAAGGCCAGACTAGCATTCTAAAACCTAAGTCCAACCTAACACTCCAAACATACTGCAAGAGATAACGTGGGGCCTGCTGATGAAACATGTCCTTGAAACTTACTTTATTCTTCAAGGACAGGTCTTGAGAAAACATACTGAAGCAAACTGTTCATCTAGCTAACATGCACATTATGAACAGAACCCCTTCTCCTGTTGCTGGTGAATCAGATCTCAAAAAATGTCCCAAAAAATAAGAAAAAAAATGGAGAAAAGCAGTCAAAAGAGAAACAACAGTAAGTTAGCCTCTAGGAGTAACTCAGAGATAAGACAAACCAAACAGAGGGAAGGAGTTCAAGTTACATTCTTACAGTGACAATAATGGCAGTAGAATTAGGTACAGCATTAATAGAAAAAAATTAGTTTTCCAAAGCACTGGTAGAGCAAACACTGTTGCTATAACCCTCTCACTCCCAGAAGCATGCTGATCTAATTTCTACAGTTAAATATTTACAGAGCAGTTTGTGTGCTTTCAGGAGCTTCAAGAACTGCTCACGGAATTCAGATGAGCAGATCTGTCTTCATCGTCCTCATAGAGGGTTTTCAGAGCCATTCACTTTCTTCACTGCTCCTTTAATACCTAGTTACCTATCAGGAAGCAGCAGGAGGGAGGACAAGCCAGGAGCCAAGAGTGTCCACAGCACGAGCTAGAAAGTGACCACACCAACACTATGGTGCTGCGAGGTTGCTGCGAGGTGCTGCCCTTGCACCAAACTGTTCTGATGCGCTCCTGTTGTCTATATCACTCTGAACCACTCCGTAAACCTCAGTTTTACTTCAGCTACATGTGACTGCAGGAACTGGCATTTAAGGGAGTCATCCATACATCTATACTACCACTAAATTTTTTCATCCTGTTTGTTTTATCCCTTTCACAGCCCTGACACTGAAGAAAATTACGTGTAAAAAATGAAAAACAGGCCTGGGAAAATATTACAGATCCATGCAAGGGGATCCTTCTCAGTACCAAGTAAGATAATATATTTTGGACATCTAACCTGTTCCTAAAGACCTTCAGCAATAGGAAACAGCACAGGTTCCAATAAAATCTGTTCTTCCCTATCAATACAACATTCTAAATCTGAAACTTCTTATTGTAGTCTCCCACTACTCAGCTTTAAAGAAGCTATAGATTCAGATGCATGACAGTACCGTAAGTGCATGGTCAGTAAACACTGATCAGTAGATGCACAGTTAACACTTGCAGCGATATTATGGTTGCTCTATGTGCTTCAGCCCCATATAGTCTCCACGAACATATCTTAACAAAAATTAAGCATGTGTAATATTCAACAAGCTTGATTCTGATTTGTCCCTTAAGAGCAGTGACACAGTCACTTTAACTCAAAACTTCACCATTACAAAATTTCCAGTGTAGAAACATCCTGAATTGTCTAGTTTGCCTTTGTAAATAGACAGTACAAAGTCCATCAGTTCAGTGGAGTTCCATCAGTAGGAGGGACTGAAGAGCGTGAAATCAGGGTTTCTACCTAAAGTCTTCATTCTCCACAGATTTGCTCTTAAAGAAAACACGCAAACACCACAAAGTCTCATTCAGAATAAAAATTCACTTTGGCATTATCAGCCAAAGGATACCACTCACAGCAGAGAAAACAATTACTTTGTCAGAAAACCACGTTACACTGAAGAAATAGAGCAGTCTGAGCCTTGTAAAGCTGCCAGGTTGTGCGCTGATTGTCCCAAATGGTTTCAGAAAGAAGTTACCGTAAATTAAAAATATGCTTAGTCCTATGAAAGACACACTGTTTATTCAGAAACAGAATATCTTGACAATACTTCCATGAGCATACATGCAGATACAGACACTACGTCTTAGTATTTTTTATTTTAAATTAGACTTATTATACGACTACATAAATGGTGTTTATAATTTAAGAAATTACACAAAATCATACATCAGTAATATTTACATTATTACTTCTGGTGTAAAATTCAAGACAAACAAAACAGTAAAAGTCTTCAATAAAAACAATTATTTTAATAAAATATGTTCAAATAAGAAGGAATAAAAATAGTCTTAGAAGGTCAAACGTACCCTGATGAGAGCAACACAATTATAGAAAAGAAACTTAAAGGATACAAACTGTCATACTGTTTTTTGGGTTACCTCAAGGGCTGAGCTCCCCAAAATAGTACCATAAACCTTACTTATTGCTCATTCCAGGCATAACCCAAACTAGTAGAGTGATTATTAACTACATTGCAGAAATCACAGTTTTCATTTATTTCATAGTTCTTGATTTTAATGGAATTGCTAAGACTAAAGAATGTAGGGCTGGATCACTAAGTTCTAAGGTGCTAAGGTTTAAATAATATTTTAAGCTAATTTGAATTTAAAAGAAAAGGAAGTTTCCATCCCATGCTTCTCTCGAAAGGATTCATCTGTGCATAATGTATTAGTGACATTCTAAAACAAACAGGAGTACTTCACTCTTAAGAGTGCAAGCTCTGTCTATAGCCAGTGTGAGAGTTTACCTCTTCTTAGTACTGTGCCATGGGAATCCTTCCTTTGGATTGACACATTCTAAAAAGAACTAATCCATATATATTCCTTATGGTGGTCAGACAGTGTTTTTATTTTACAACACATAAAGCTCCAAAGAGCAAAGCCAACAGTTTTTGTTCTTCACTTCATCTGGGTGTTAGATTTCTATCAATAATGAATTGCTCTTCCAACACAGCTATCAGAAAAATTCAATGCATTTTCTTGACAGAAATAAACTAAAACCCATAACTCCTTTGGGAGGTATTTAAGTGAGATTCTCCCAACTGAAAGAAAACTGAGGCACAGTGCAGCTAAGTCTATGACATAGCTTAAACCAGTGTCCCCTTCCCAGTATTTTATTCTCATCAGTAGCTTACACACAAAAATGGATGAAGTTACTGGAAGTAAACAAATGGATGTGTATACCTATCAAAACATATAAAATTCACCTGTAACAGCTCACATCATTCCACTGAAACGCTGGCCAAAGAAATGAAACAACAACAACAACAACAACGATAGTCCTGATAAATCCAGGAAGCCTGAAAGGAAGAACATTATGATCTTGGTTCTATAAAAATCTGATATGAATTCTTGTTGGATTTAACTCATTTTAGAGAACAGAATCTCACAGACCAAAAGAACAAACAAGCAAAATAGGAAAAATTAGATTGTCTGATAAAACTATTAGACTGAGCTTGATTCATTTAGTAATGGAGCAGATTTGAAAGCACTTACTATGCTGGCTGCAAAAACTCTGATGTGAATACAGCTTCAGCATAATCCTCACAAACATCCCGCAGCTCTGCTGCTACATCAAACAGGGCTTCGTCTGTTAGTTCCTCTGCAAGACTAAGGTACAAAGAAAGGGGAAAAAAAGAACAGGAAAAGGCTGAGGTCAGATTTTGAGCTTCACTAATTCATACCAGTGATATCAATGCTGTGATCTAAAAAGGCAAATACTGCTGCTTTTTTTTTTTTTTTTTTTTCTTCTTTCTACTGCCTAGTCTAAGAAAAGATTCTACTATCACAGAACAGTTGTGTTCTTGTAAGTGTTGTATAATAACCCAAATTAGAATCACAGAATCCTTAGAGTTGGAAAGGACCTTTAAAGGTTATCTAACCCAGCTTCCCTGCAACAAGCAGGGATCTCCAGCAAGAGATATTCTTATATCCACTGCCAGTACTTAAATGAGGTCTGGGAAAGGGTGGATCCTGGCTTCACTGCTCCCAGTCACTCAGGTGCACTGCTCGCACCAAAGCTTCCCTGGTTTGGCCCCACCCTCCCTCCAGATGCTCTGTTACTGTTTCAGACTGTGAGTGTACATTTCCACTGCACACAGCTTTCATGACGATCTGCTCCATGATCTTTCCTGGCACAGAAGACAGACTAATAGGTCAGTAGTTCCCAGGGTCATCCTTTTCACGCTTTTTAAAGATGGGTGTGATGTTGTCTTTTTTTTTTTTTCGTCCCAGTCACCAGGGACTTCACCTGATTGCCACAACTTTTCAAATAATCATTGAGTGGCTTACATAAACTAATTCTCTTAGGACACTGGGATGCAACACATGGGGACCCATAGACTTCTGGATGTTCAGCTTCCCCATGTGGTCATGAACTTGATCTTAACTTACAGTTACACTTACAGGACATGCTTCCCCAGTCCTCTCCTACAAAACCAAACATTTCAGGACTGTGTGGTGAGCAGTCATCAGGGAAGACCAAGGCAAAAAAGTTAAGTACCTCAGCCTTTTCCTTGCCTTTGTTACCAGCTTGCCTGCGTCACTCACTAGGAGGAGTACAGCCTCCCGGACTTTCCTTTTCTGGTTTAGGTATCTCAATTAGAAGTAGAAACCTTTCCTGTTCTTCTTGGCATCCTTGCTAAGTTTACTTCAAGCTGGGCCTTGGCTTTCCTGATGCCATTCCTACACAGTTTAGCAGCTTCCTTATACTCTTCTCACAATACCACCTGTCCCTGTTTCCACTGCCTGTGCATTTTCTTGCTCTTTGATTTGTCTAGCAGAACCCAGTTCAGCAATGTCAGTCTCCTCCCTTTCCTGATCTCCATCGCTTCCTTTTTCAAACTCTTACATACAAATTCTGCTATAGGAGTAATAATTAACATACTGTGGTGCTCATTCTGAGGCCACTGAAATAAATAGGAAGCATCTTACTGATTTTAGTTGCCACTGAATGAGGCCTTACAGAGAGTAATAAGGTCTAAGGAAAAATGAGATAAGTGGCCTCCAGACAACAGTGGACATAACAGAAAGGAAAACTAATAAACAATTGTTTTTAATGTTAAAATAACCTCTGTAAAGTTTATCTTCAGAATTTTGCAAGTATTCTAAATTATAATAAAGCTACTGTATCCAGGACTTTCCCAGCATAGCAAGGGACTGTTTCTTCTAAACATTTTTTTTTAAACACTTACTTTATATAGGAAGATTTATAATGCCCTCTTGTGGTAGGAATTAAGGACACAAAAAAAAAACACCTGATAGATTCCCTACAAAAATACAGGTAGTTCACATACCTTTCAGCAATCTGCCATGGATTGAAGCTGCCTACTGCTTCATGGAAAATAAGGTTTAGGTGATGCTTGTATTTGCTGCTGTAATCCAGGATGCTCTGGAGCATATGCTTTGTAATTGAGAAAGAAATGTAGGACTTTTTCTGCACAGAATTCTGAGTCAAGGGCTGCAGAATGTTATTTCCAGTCAGCAATTTCTCCTGAGCTTCTTTGTTTTTGTTAGTGCCACTGGAAATACAAAAGATTAAATTAAATCAGGATTATTAAGTTGTTTGGTTTTTTTTGTTTTTTGTTTTTTTTGAAAGATCAGAAAATGACTTCAAACAGTAAGCATAATTCCCTCTAATACAAACACTGCAATGAATGTGCACAGCAGAAATGCACCACAGCTTTGTCTACAATCAAAGTATTCTACTTACTTGTCATCGAAAATTTTTTCAAATGAAATGTCAGTTTCCGATTGTATCTGTCTAGTTAACTTGGTTATCTGAATTGAATGAGGAGATGTAGGTAGTTGAGTTATTAATGCCATTTGTTGATCTAGAAGGAAAAAAACATTAAAATTTGTTTCTTTGGAAGAAAATAAAAAGCCTACAGTTAATGCAGCTAGGACCTCAAAAACTTTTGCTTCCTTCATAGGCATATCCTTCAGGTAGAAAAAGACAAGTACTAAAGCTGACAAATCCCTAAAAATGAAAATTCGAGCAAGGATATCCAGGAGCTCAGTGTACTGAAACTAAGCATTTCAGACATTCTTCCTTTAGTATAAGTGCAGCTTGTTTTCCATCAGTGAATACTTCTCTAGAACAGACAGAAAAATATCACTCAAAAGTTAATGCAGTATATTAGAGCTTGGCAGTAAATCCAATAAATAGAAAAAATGAAACAAGATTTGGGGGAAGTTTTTATCTATCTTACTGATAGATTTCATACGCATTTTCACTGAAGTTAGCATGTGACCAGATCCTCAACTTGGTAAATTGACGTAGCTTCATTGTTGTATCTAATCAAACAGAAGGATAAAGAAAGAATACACTAAACACTGCAAGATTTAGACTTACAAATTCCCAGTCATGAAGAGCCCAACAGAAAAAAAAAAAAAGTAGCTTCAGGAGATTTCAAACTTAGAAAATAAACTTTCTTTCTTCTGAAGTAGATTCAAACAGCTCACAGATGAGCTGAATGTATGTACTCCAGTTACAGACTACAGTGTAAAATCTTCACTGCACTAAAATCACTACCCACTATTTATAAGAAAATATCTAAGTTAAGGAATGACAAATGCCTTTAAAAGGATAACATTAAAAACTTAACACGTATTGACTGGTGGTATGTATTAAAGACTCCTATCCTTCAACTAAGTTACACTAGCAGTGCATCGCATGCAAATGTATACTCAACAAAGGCAAACTGAAAATAATGGTCTGTTCTCAGAATGGATCCTTCTTTTAGCACTGTATTTCATAGAATCATAGAATGTCCTCGGTTGAAAAGGACCACAATGATCAGTTTCAACCCCCCTGCGAAGTGCAGGGTCACCAACCAGCAGACCAGGCTGCCCAGAACCACATCCAGCGTGGCGTTGAATGCATCCAGGGATGGGGCATCCACAACCTCCTTGGGCAACCTGTTCCAGCACTTCACCAGCCTGGGTGAAAAACTTCCTCCTAATATCTAACTTAAATCTCCCCTCAGTTTAAAACCATTCCCCTTGTTCTATCACTGCCCACCCTCATAAACAGCTGTTGCCCTTCCTGTTTACACACTCCCTTCAAATATTGGAAGGCCACAATGTCTCCCCAGAGCCTTCTCTTTTCCAAGAAAAACAAGCGTTTTTTCAGAAACATTCCTCTCAAAGGAGCACCTATAATCAAAAATGTTCTGTTGCATGAAAAAAAAAACACAAATCATGGACTGAACAGGCAACTAGCCTGTAAAAAAAAAAAAAAAAAAAAAAAAAAGAAAAACCAACTTTTATTTCCTTGGGAACACAAGTAAACTGCCTGTAGGTTCTGCACCTACAAGAGACTTGTTTGCAAGAAATTACTCTGTAGCTACAACTGAGTATCCTTGTTTTCTGTGATTAACTTGGACTAGACTGATTCATGTTGCTTTATTGTCTCCCTGTTATACCTATGGCAGGCACAGACATCTCACCAGCCAGGCAGCTTTGGTAACATGAGTGCCTCTAACTAACTGGTGAATGTTAACTTGCCTTTGTGTACTTTCTTTGGGATTTGGTAAACCTTATGCAGAAGCATTGACACTTTCTCATTACAACAGTGATATATGATCACATACAATCTCTTTGATTTCAAGTCTCTGAATTCAAAAGACAGAGACGCCAAGAAAGTAAGTTGTACTGAAGAAACTACTTACCAATTTTACCCTCTTGGGCCCTGAATTCTGAATCACTGTACACAATCTGGGTGAATCTCCTGCATACAGTTTCCTGATATCTCTGTTTTTAAACAAATAAAAGCAATCAATTAACACATGCTTAACACTTATCACTTGATAAGAAAGAAGGTCATGATCCTCCTTGTCAAAGCAGGATTATTTTGCAGGGTTAATGTAGTACTGAAAAGGAGTAAAAGGAGATGAAATTACAGATAATCATCTCATTTCAAAATCCTAGACTAGAAGATTCAACTAGTTGCCAGTACCATGGCAACTACTCCTATTTCAGATCAACAGCAGTTAGAAAAACAGCTGATGGGCTTTCCTGCCTTACCAACAAGGAATTCAAACATATGCCCAAGCACCTTAAATGGATATTACATACTGTAAGCTTCATGCTTTCAGCTTACAAATTGATCTCAAGTAAACAGTGCTAAATTCAGTAGTTCTAATTCAGGATAAATGTAACTGAACAGAAAGGGTGTAGTAAGATTAGAAACAAACACTCTGGAAAAGCTTATTAAAGTTTAAAAAAGTAATGCATGGGGGGGGCGGCCGCAAAAAAAAAAAAATACCAAGCAAACTTAGGTCTGCCAATCCTAACGTTAGCAATAAAACCATGAGGTTAAATATCCTTCTGTTCTTACACAGTTTTGTGCTGGTAGGGGAGACTTGGAAGGAGTTTCCTATTTCATACCACAATCCAGTCTGATCTTGTTTTAAAGAATGCAGATACCTACTGGTATTATACTTATTGTCAGTAAACCAGAAATTAGCCCTATCAGACCAATGAATAGATTAAAAACTTACTTCAATTTCTTCCATTCTTTGCAACATTGTTTCCAGACTAGGACCATCAGCCACAAACAGATTCTCAGCCTGAAGTCTCTCGCACTGCTCCATATTCCAGAGTTCCTGAGCAGTATCTTCCAAAAGATCATCCAGTACCTTTTCACTCAGAATATCTGCACTTGCTGCAACCTGCCAAAAAAAGCAAAATAAACACAGTCAATGGGGGGGGGAGAAAAAAAAAAAAAAGGGGGAAAGAGAAGAAATAGAAAAACTTCAAGGGGAAAAAAAAAAAATAAAAAAATGATGCTTATACATCACATATTTCTTACAGCACCTGCTGGTAAGAAGCCAAATGTCATTACAACTTCTCAGTGAAAGCCCAAATAATTTTGTTTCTCTTCCACTCACTTAGTAAGCCAAATCAATAGAAACAGCTTGGTATATTCCTACCAATAAAAAACATTGAACATGGATGAAGCTCTCTACATAACTAAGTTTCTATGTTCCTAAACACAGGTTCAGAAATCACACAGGATTCAAGAGCAAGACGCAAAGGCCCTCATATTACAAAACATGCATTTAACAGAACATACAGGAGAAGTCCCACAGCAGCTGCCAAAATTAATGAATAAATATAGAAGAGTACAGAGTAAACCTAGGCCAAAGCTGTAGGTTTCAGTTGTGTCCAGTTTTACCAACTAGAATCACAGAATTGCTTAGGTTGATAGGAACCTTACAGATTACCTCATTCCAACTCTGCTAGGTGCACCCCTTCCAATTAGACTGCGTAGAGCCCCCCTTCCAGCCTGGCTTTGGACACCTCCAGGGTTAGGGCAGCCACAGCTTTTCTGGGCCTTTCTCTATCAGACAGGCTCACAGCCTTCTCAGTAAAGCATTTTTTAACATCTAACCTAAACTCCTCCCTTTTAGTTTAAAGCTATTTTCCCTTGCCCTGCTATTCCCCCCATGCCATGCTATGATATCTCTATTCATAGAATCAGCAAGGTTGGAAAAGCCCTCCAAGATCATCCAGTCCGATTATCCACCTACCATCAGTATTTCCCAATAAACCATATCTCTTAGTACAACATCTAAACATTTCTTGAACACATCTGGGGACAGTAACTCCATCACTCCCCTGGGCAGCCTGTTCCAGCGCCTGACCACTCTTTTGGAGAATAAATTTTTCCTGATATCCAACCTAAGTTGATTCTGTGTGTGCTTTGGCACAACTTGCAGTCATTCCCTCTTGTCCCAGTGCTTACCCAGGAGAAGAGGCTGACCTCCATCTCGCCACAACCTCCTTTCAGGTAGGATGTAGAGAGCTATAAGGTATTATAAGCTATACAGTGTTGGAAAATGTTAAATTCAGAAAATCATCACTACTTTTCTAAACGCATTTTGCCACATGGCAGAGATAAAAACTCAGCTTTTCTCTGTGACAAGTAGATAGAATATACCTTCTCAGCTGCGTGAGTTGAAAGCTGTCTTGTAATTGAAGGATCCTTCAAATGACAGTTTGCTTCCAAGGAAATATTGATCTGCTAATAAACCATAAATCCACTTAGAATAACGAACCTTCTGTATTATTAGTCATAATTACTAGCAGAGAAAATATACTGAGACATTAAATGTGGTATTATATTATTAAAATAATCTTATCAAGTCCAGTTATGATTAGTGTAGAACAGTTCTGATTGTTCACTACTAAGAAAAGATGATCAAAAAAAAAAAACAAGAATGCAGCTTTGCCAGCTTTGGTTACGATAACTTAAAGCCTACATACTGAAATGGAAATACACTTGTCAAGTATCCCAAAATGTACTGACTATATAAATCATTTGATACGTTTCTCCAAAAAACTCCTTACTTGTGCTACGTTGAAAACAAACATTATATTGACCATTTATAAATGTACCCCTCAAATACTGCCGTGAGCCTGACTGTACTACCTGTGCCCTATCCAATGGAAGTTCTAGGTGCTCACATACTGCTTTGTCAACTTTGTCTGCACACTGAGGTGGAGAAGCAGCTTGCAACCTGGACATACGCACAAAATAAGAACAAATGACAATTTGTTAAAATTTAAAATTTGGCATAACAACAGTAATTAAAAAAAAAAACAAAAATAAAAAAACATAAATCCACTTTTTGGGGAAGTGGAAAGTTGAGAAGCTTTTCATACTGCTGGTGGAGAGAGCAGGAAGATTATATCAACTTCTGGTACCACTTATTAGCTCTTCTGAGCAAGTAATTACCTTAACTTTTGTCCTTTTTTCATTTCTCTTCTGTTAAGATCAGTCAGAACTTTCGTTCTTCTTGAAGCTTCTGCTTCACGCCATGCTAGTCTTCAAATATAAGACAATTACATAAGGAGAATTACACAACGCTCATTATAAGAACTGGAGAATAAAATAACTGGATTCTGAATATTAGTTTATGAAAATTTTGAGAACATTTATAAAGAAAATTAATATTGGCTTCAATATCATATAAGCCAGGAAATTCATCTGAGAACCAGCGATCTTCAATCATCCCTACACTACTGGTGAAAAGACAACTTCATGGCTATCTGCAAATACTGCCTAGATAGACAAGCTCCTCATCAACACACAGTCTACTTCAGATCCAGCAGCTGAATCTTCTGGTTCAACTGCCAGAAAGAGCACGGGAAACTAAGTGTGGGGAACCTGAGTCTCCAGAATACTGAATATATTTTTTTCATAAACAAGCCTAGACCATATTACAGACAAGGAAAAAAATACATATTTTCTCCTTTTGGAACCAAGAGATCACATTTGTATTCTCACTGCAGCGCTGAGATAATAGGTTAACTACATTTGGAAAACATAAAATATTTAGATGGAAAAATGAATGAGGGACATACCAACAAATTGCACTTAAGAAATGGAGAGGAAGTAATTAACAAAGTTAATATGAGAAAGAATGAAATCTTAGGAAAAGGAAGGAATACATATTACCTCACTGCTGCAATTCTAATAGTTCAAAACAACTTCTATGAAATAGCAAGCTTTCCTCAGACAAAACCTAGAGCACTGTGTGTAGTTTTGAGTCCCGCAATGTAAAGATGTAAAGCTATTAGAGTGTAACCAAGGGAGGGCTATGAAATGGAATAGGCAAGGCACATGAGGAGAGGCTAAGGCCTCTCTGGTTTATTCAGCCTAGAGGAGGGGAGGCCTCATGGTGGCCTATAGCTCCTCACAGGGAACGGGGGGCAGTGCTGAGCTCTGGAAACACTGACAGGGTCTGAAAGAGCAGCATGGAGCTGTAATGTGGGAACGTCAGGTGGGGGGTCAGGAAATGGTTCTGTGGGCATGAAACAGGCACCCTATAGCAGTGGGCACAGCCTTGAGCTGCTAGAGCTCAAGGAGCATTCGGACACCACTCTCAGACAGAGTTTGAGTGGTCCTGTGTTGAGCCAGTCATTGGATGTGATGGTCCATGTGCATGTGCATTTCAGCACAGAATAATCTATGATTATGCGATTAATATGACAGAACTACTTCCTCCAGAGAAGGCACCAATACAAACTCTTCATTTAGATAAGTAATTTCACAACACTTGAAGGAACATACTATTGTTATTTTTCCGCTGCCCATTTGAATTGAAATTAGCTGATGAGTTTCAAAAACCATTATGGCAGGACTGACAGACACAAATAGCATAATAACACATTAGTTAAATAAACTTAAAAATTTAATCAGAGCACCAGCATGGCTAGCGAATGTCCATTCTGCATGCTATGTAGCCTGTCAGTGCTTTGCAGTTTTGGCCTGCGACTTCCAGATGATATTCATATATGACCCAGGAAAAACATAGAGGAATGCTTTTTTCCCCATGCTCTGTGAATGAGGCCACTTTATTATGAGTGAGAAAAAAAAATACAAATATCCACTTGTGAGCTGTGCTATGCCACTTTTGCCTCTGTAATATGAGAGGCAGGCCCAACCCATCCTATTTACTAGTACAGATACAGTACTGCTTCCACAGAAAAGTTAGGTGAACACTGGATTCACTAGACTATGAACATACCGTTTAGGTGAAGCAGGAGGTAACGCAGAGTTTGAAGGCACCCAGGGCATGCTGCTCTCCTTAACAAATCGTTTGTTCTCTTTTAACTGAAAAGCTATAGTTGTTTCTTGAAATCGAGCATGCTTTCCTGGAGGCTGCACCTGCCTTGGTTTCAGAGATTTAGGCATGCCCTTAAAATTAACACAATTACATAAAAAACATGCATCTCCATTGCTTAATTTTTAAAGTATTTTGTATTCTGCTTTAGAATTTGTTTGGAAGTCATGTCTCTTTACAGTGCACAGCTGACACACGTGGAGGATTTAGAACTCGTTTAAAGACAAGTACAACTGTGCCATAACAAAACGTGCTTAAATTTTGCTATTACAATTTTTGCAAGCACTTCTAAGGATAATGCTCTATTTGGCCATTAAACTGTGAGGTCCACTCCAGAATTAATGATTGTTGATAAGCAACAACACAAGTTTCAGAAAACAACTGATAAAATATAAACATCAGAAATAATGGAGACAAATAACACTGCTTATTTGCCTATGCTTCTAAACTCAGAAGAAAAAAATATATTTGAGTACAAAGTCTGAAAGTGCCTTACACTAATAACAAATCCCAGAGGACAAGATGAAGAAAGCATGAATTCTTTTACAACTTGCATACCTGTGATTCTGCAGATAATAACATGTCTTTCTTCTTTAAAGAGCCACTTTGAAGGATAGGATCTTTTTTTACAGCTCTAGATCTCACTAGTGCCTCTAGGCTTCCCTGTAAAACAGTATTTCTTTGTGGAGCAGGAAGATCATTTGCGTCCTGGAATTTATCATGCAACATATGAGTGTGATCGTTCATCTTCTGAACTGCTGAAATTTTTGCAACGTATTGATGTTTATCTGTATCAAAAATAAGTAAGAAATCTTCAGCTGTAAGTTCAAAGGGGCAAGAATCATCTTAATGTCTATATCCAACTTTCCTGTTGTGGTAGATATACCCAACCACAACATTTAAAGCTCTACCATAATACAAAAATATCAAAATTAAAAACAAAACAAAAAACAACCCTCATATTCCCTGATAAGCATTAAAGTAACTGTCTTTGCTAGAGTGATTAATTGAAGAATAAATATACAAGAAAACACATTCTCCATTTACATATGAACGTATATACATACACAAAAACACTGACACATACACAGTCATGTAGTAAGCAATAATAGATTTCATGAGGTGGCAAAATATTGTAGACATCAACTATTTCAAAACACACTAGGGAAGAAAGTATTTTTCATGTATAAGGTAGATGAAGAAGAGAAGTAATTCCCAAAGGTTGCATCTCAATCTCTGGCAGTGGAAAACAGACTTCAGTGTAGCTGTTAGTTAATGTGCCTCCAGGTACTGAGACTGTGATTGGGGTGCAGAAGAAATGAATGGATTGTCAAGAACAAAATCCACATCACTCAATCTTTCAAAAGCAGAGAAACTACCCAAACTAAGGAAATTCTGAGCCAAAGCTTTAGTACATCTTTTCACTCCAGATGGTTCTTCTACAAAACAACTTTGCTGGAGACTTGCTAACAAACAATGACTGCATTTCAAGAGAATATGTTCATATAGTGTTTTCAACATAAACATATGATATATTCTGTGTGCACCATTAAAACTAATTTGTAAAGCGTCATTTAGGTATACACTGTAGAAAAGCAATCCAAGCATAGCTCACTGTAAAGGAGCTAGACAAAAATAAAAACATGATGATAATATGAAGAGGTATATAAACCTGCAAGTTAATCACCTAACAGTAGCTGCTAGGGAAAAAAAAAACAACACTAAAAGTATAACAAAGCTACATGAATCTGATGACTGATATGGGCCGTTGCACACTTCTGCCCAGCAATATGTAACACACTAAAAAACTGAACTGCAGAGTGCAAGTTAACTAACAATTTAGTAATAAAATACAAACCAATCAAGAGACCTCTGGCAGCTGGAGATTTTCTGGGTCCTTGTCTACGTTGTTTTTTTAAGATGAGAGGCTTATTTTCTCCTTTTGGAGTTATTAGCTGCTTTCTGGCTGGAAACGTCACAGTGTTCACTGAAGATTCGCCATGTGATGCTGAAAGACATTCCTTCACTTTTTTGGGAGTTTGTTTCTTTTCCAATAGTGAAATCAGATCCTGCATCAGATATTGATAATTTTAATTACTTTCTCAGTAAACAGGATGTAATAAAGAAAAAAGAAATTCAAGATATTCTGAGTAACTGGAACTATTTAATGTGGCTTTGTTTTTTTTTTTGTTTTGGTTTTTTTGTTTGTTTGTTTTTGTTTTGTTTTTGGTTGGTTGGTTGTTTTTTTCGTTTGTCCTGACAGCTTGCTCATGCAGAAGCATCTTTGTTTGACTAACTTAATAATATAAGAAGAGGTCTGCATGTTTTTAAATTTACAACTGACTAGAAAATTATCCACTTAAAGCACATTAAAAAATAAATTGACACAAAATCTACAAATGACTAAGATAAGACAAACATTTTCCATTGAGAAATACAATGTTAATTCTACCTCCATTCCTATTCTGATGCAACCAGTGTTAAAGTGGTCATAAGCATTATGGTTCAGAACAACGAAAACACAGCTCTTACATTTAGAATAATATTTTAAGGTAAATAAAATATCTTGCAGCTATTGGATCAGCTGTTTTTATTTGAAATAATTAAATACTGATTGCAGAATAGTTCAGGCTATGTAGGTTATTACTTTAAAAATAATGTAGCTAGAAACTACAGCAGGAAATGTGAATCAGAACTTTTGTACTGTATCAACAGATGTCATAGAACATCAGATATTACTAACAAAATTCATTTGAAAGGCAGAGAGCTTTAAATTGTAGCTACCACCTACACAATTCTGCGCCCACCATTGTATGTGAGGCAGAAAGACTCACTTAGTACTGATGACTAAAGGATGCACAGCAGAACAATATTTAATACTTAACCAACATATCAAATGCAATTCTTTCAACCTTGAAAATGGGAAACAAATCAACAACTTGTGTTCTGTTACCACTATCACTACCAGTCCTTATCCTACCAGGATAGTGAATAATGACAAGAACATCATCATCACAGACCGCAGCAGTCTGTCCTGTGAACAGGATGCAACTTGTTTAGACTACTCTTATTTATGAACATTAGAAGCACATCTATTGGAAAATATGGCCTTTTAATTAAAAAAAAAAAAAAGTTAAATATTCTGCAAAACAAAACAATTATTCCTACCTCAACTTGCATCAAAATATCTATTATAACATCAGAAGTTGAAGAATCTAGTTCAAGTTTGGCAGAACAGAGTGACAGCTGTCGAATGAGGCTGCCCAGCTCCTTGTAGCAGGTAGGAACCCATTGCCCTGTTTGATCAGTAAACTGGTTGGCAAATGCCTGCAAGGCTCGTATAGCTCCTCTATGTGCTGCTGCCAATTTGGACACTGCTCGAGACTGGAAAAATGAAACATATATACTTTAGTACCTCTAGTTTCTGTAAGTATTGACACTACCCACAGAATTGTTACCAACATTTCATGTATAAACACTCAAGATTTAGAATAATTCAGATGGAGATGAGGCCGCTTTTCAGGGAAAACAAAACATTCATTTAAGAAGTCTTCTAAAGGTACTACACAACACTGCACATAAATTCAATGTTAGATTCAGCTAAAACAGCATAGTGTTATAACTGTGCTGTAACTCCTGGTATTTCTACTGCTTTATACCTATGAAGTCATGGGGCTGATCCCAATGTACAAAAAACATGACTGTAGGACATTCTCCATCCCCCAGCATCTGTTTTCTTCTTGAAAAGAAAATACAAGTGATGGATAGAAAAGCACATGAGAATATTGAGTCAATACTGGCCAAACAGTACCAATTATCACAGCATTATCTTTCTGAAAGATCATGGACTAATGTGAAAATCAGAAAGAATGGCTACGACTGAGTGATGTGAATAGGAAATTAAAAACAATAAATCAAGAGTAGAACAGAGTGTTATTCAGAAAAGTGGAACGAAGTAGAAACCACCTAAAAGCAGGCCAACAGTCTTTTCCACACCAGTACTGTAGGCAAATCTTAGGACTTAGAAAAAGATGGAAGGAACAAAGGCAGCAAGAGACCAAATGAAATATATTTCTGTGCGATAATTTCCATCTTACCTTTTTAGTATGTTTGATTTTATAAGGACTCAGTTTTTCTAAGTCATCCTGAATTTTTTTCACCTGTTCATCAAGAGGGGGAGCAGGGAAAATGAGTTAGAATTAGCTCCATGTCTATAAATGAACAATGTTTTCACTGTAACATCTGAGTGAAAGATTTTTTCCCCCCCTCAACAGTGATGCTCATATCTCTAAAACCACTCATAAGTGAAATCGGTCACACCACTCAGATCCAAACTAGAATGTCATGGAAATTCAGACATGTTTCCATTAATCTGGATTGTTTCAGTTCACTTCTGTCAAATTTATCACAATAAACATCCCAACTTGAAATGCTAGTTGTACCTGTTGCTGGAGTACATACAGCATCTGAGCCGATTGCGCAGCTTGCTTCTGCCTTTGAGTGCAAACTTGTTGCTGTTCATCAGCATCTAAGTTTTCTTCATCTCTCTCTGAGAAGCATGAAATATTAAGTTTTATGTCTTAATTTAACATGTGAAAATCTCGTTTAAGCCAAGTGAACAAATATAATTTAGCAATAAGAATCTTTTATGCAGAGCATCCTGGGGCAGTAATGAAAGCTAGCTACTTCAACTCTACATTATGTATCTGCTTAATATTTGACTAAATACTTTTACACGACACACCTTTTCAGATACAGTTCATAAAATTACTCATGACTCCTTAATCTCACGACAAACTTGCAAGTAAAACGCTCCAAGTTAGAAATAAATTTAAACCTCCAGGTAGTTATAATAAAGGGACCAATGCAATGTTATGGGTCTGGCTGGGATGAGTTTACTTTTTTCACAGTAACATGTACAGAGCTGTTTTGGATTTATAACTTAAAACATGGCTGATAACACATCCAAGTTTTGTCCTTTGCTGTGGAGCAGGTGCACAGTTTCAAGTTTCAGAGTTTCAACTATGTCCTCTGTGTGAGTAGGCAGGGGGTATGCAAGAAGTTGTGAGGGCTCACAGATGGGACAGCTGAACCAAACCAAAAAAAAAAAAAAAAAAAAAGGGATATCCCATGCTGTATAACAGCATGCTCAGCAATAAAAAAAAAATTAGAGTTTTGGGTGAAGGGAGAACCATAGCCATTACCCAGAGATTGGCTGGGCACTGCACTACTTGTGAGAGATAGCATGTGATCACCACTGCATCATCTTTGTTTTTCAATTTTCCCTTTCCTTACTAAGCCACCTATTTCCCAACTCATAAGTTTTCTTGCTTTTGCTCTTCCTGTTCTCTCCTCTGTTCTGCTAGAGGAGACGATAAGCTTAAGCAGCTCTGTGGTGCTTTCATATTTAGACCAACACAGTGTCAGAAAGGACATTAATCATTACACCACACACCTATAAACTAGGTAAGTCAGTTGACTCTTTTCACAGCTAAGAATGTGGTTAATCATTGTATTGCATTTTGCAGTCAGAAGCTTGAGCTAATATGTCTAACCCAATATTAGGTTATTAAATAGACTGCCACTAATTTACTGCCATTTCAAGCTGAACTGGAACTCACTACAAATACTCAAAGATATTAAACCCTGTTATTATCTGTCCTAGCTAACTATTCCAGTTGTTCTTCCTATTCTCAAAAATCTAGAATGAATCTGATTTTAATCCAAGACAAAAAAACAAAAGACAAAAACAATGAGTAGAAAAAAGAACAAATCAACAAACTCTCATGCATTTACATACAATAATTATTGTTCAGTCTTACACCTTTTTTAGTTAGGTCTTCAATTTTCTGGACACAACTTCTTAATTCTTTTTTCAGCCGTTGGATTTCAATAATATTTTTATTTTCCTTTATTTTAACGGTTGTCTTGGGGTCTGGTCTTGTATTATGGGTGAGCGAAGAGCCTAAAACAGCTGGTATTAGCATTCCCTCATTTGGTGTGTAGAGATATACTTTTGTACCAGAGGTGGTAGTCTTCATTTTGGAAGGCTCAACAAGTTTCTGGTGATATTTCAGCTGAGTTTGAGACTCAAGCCCAATTTTCTTTTCCAGACTTTCAGACACTTTGTTTATCTGCTCTTGTGACTTCTGGGCTAACAATGATTTATTGACAGCATCTCCAAACACCTGTTGTTTCACTTGCTCTTCAAGATGCCTTCGTTTTATGTCCCTTTTAGCTAGATGAATAGCCAATTTTAGTCTCTCTTCAGATATCACTGAAAACATACCAGAGCTTCTTACACTGGGGTCATCACTTCCACCTAGATTTCTCTGATTGTTAGATGACTTCAGTTTTTCTATTATAATTGGATGGGGGTTAGAGAATCTGAGAGATAAGTTTTCCGGAACTGCTGGAACATTTCTATTAAACTGGAGCTGTTTTAAAGTGTAAACAGAAATTGATGTTACACACAACCATTTATGTGAATGAGGCACCTCTAGTGCACAACACTCAGGAAAGCAAAGCCTCTTTCATATCACAATACTGTGTAATCAATGAATATACAGATGTTATAATTATGAAATACACAAGAGAGTTTGGCTAAGTAGGTTATCATACCAAAGAGAAAAGAGAGAGTGCTTACCCTCATCCTAGACCCACTGCAAAACTCCAAACGAGGGATCTCCAGAAGAGATCCTTTCCCAGTGGCAGTCAGCTCTTAAATGGGTCTAGGAGAAGTGCAGCCAGGCTCCACCCCTTCCAGCAGCACAGATGAATTGCCTTCACCTGTGCTCCCAGGGCTGACTCATTGCTTGCCTCAGGTGGTCAATCAGAGGTTCAGGCCATGATTCAGCATTCTGTCACTATGGTACTTCTCCAGCACATGCAAGAATTCCCTCCACTCAGATAAACGTCAGTATTCAAAATGACCTTGAATTACGCATGTGGGTATTCTTGTAAATAACACTGCATACATATTTACACCTTTGGGTAGGCACCCACAGTGAAAAATCTGCTCCAAAATGACAATGTAACAGACAATACCATTGCAAAGACTTTAAAGAATTCTAGCAATGAAATTAATAAGTTGTAATGACAATATAAAAAGGTATTATTTGTATCATATGAGAAGCAGAGTTACAAAGGTAACAGATACATGATGAAGGATAAATGGAAAACTAAAATGCAGTAACAGAATGAAGTTTCTACGTTCAGCGACTATGTGGTAAAGTAAGAGGCTAAGACAGACAAACAGTATTTATAGGTGCAGTTTCAGTTCCATGCAGGGAAAAAAATCCCAAAAAGGGTTAAGATTATGAGTGACAGCGTTGTGAAAGCAAGTATGAAGATCTCACATTCATGAGTGGCCTATATCAGGAAATGGGTCTCACTCATCTTTTTGTAGTGATCACAAATGAAAACCACTTCAGCACTGCTGAAATATTCAAACAATACCTGTGTTCGTAAAGACTTTGCTTCATTCCTGTACAGCTGGGTAGTGGGTGTAAATGGAGCACCAGACAAAGGTGGCTTGCTTGGTCCCATCACGTTGACCCGATGCTGAAAATAGTTACTTTAACATACATTATTATAGTTATTAACAGTTATTATAATCATACTATTGCTATGCTCATGCTATTTCTATCTCTGAAAAGGAATCTTAAGTGCATAACAAACAAATAGAGAACCAACCTGAGGAAACACACAGGAACAGGAAATAGATCAAGTGTCTTTATACAGGCAGCGTGCAAAATGGGAAGTACGTTCCTGCTACTTATCGCAACATTTACTGTTTACATCCTTCTTTTACACACTCCCAGAAACACCGAGGAGCGCCGCCACAGGCCGTGAGGCTCACGTTACGGCCCCTCGGAACACTACAGGACTTCCATAGCCGTCACCTACCTACAGGGGAACGGCGTACTGCAGAAGTGTGAGAACAGAGTAGGGCAGCGCTCAGGGAAGCAAGCTCGTGCCTTATCGCCAAAGGAACGTCGATCACCAGGAGTTCTTCAAATAGAAGAGTTTGAAATATAAGCTACGTGTCGAGATAGTCAGAAAATTATCTCTCTCGCATTTGACCTTGGGAATTAAAAACCGAAGCTACTGCTTCTTTAGCAGCCGAATCGGGACTTTGCCGCCGCTCCTCAGCTCGGCCCGCCCCGCCCGTCGCCGCCGCCGCCGCCCCGAGCTCACCGACCCGCGCCCGCCCGAGGCCAGAAGGGCAGCGGAAAGCCACGAGTTGCGCCCGGCGAACCGAACCCCGCCGGGGCGACCCGCAGCAGGCCGTTCCTCAGGCACCGGCAGGAAGCCGCAACCACCCGCGCGCCCTGCAGGAGCCCGGCCCGGCCCGCTGGGCGGAGCGGTTCAAACTCGCTGCGGGCGACCGCCGCCGCCGAGGCTGTCGGGAAGCAGCGCGGCGCCGCAGTGCGGTATCCGGGACGGGGCCGCGCCTTCCCGCCCTCGGTTGCCGCTTCCCGCAGGCGCCATGGGCTGGGAGGAGAAGCAGGTCCGCGGGTACGGCGAATTCGTGCAGACGGCGCAGCGCTACCACGGCCGGCCGATCTTCGCGCTCTTCTGCGGCGACAAGGATGCCGAGGGCCGGAGCTGGTGCCCGGACTGCGTGACTGGTGAGGCCCGGGGAGGTGCGGAGGCTCCGCCAGGAACTCCGGCCGCCTCCTCTCGGCCCGCGTGGCGCCGGCGCAAGGCGCTCTCGTTGGTCTGAGGCGGGCGGAGCGGCGCCGGGCGGCCTCGTGGGGGACGCGGCGGGCACTCCGGGCGGTCGCGGCGCGGAGGCCGAACCTCTTAGCGCGCGGACGGGCGCGGACTGCCGTCTCCCGCTGCGGTTACCCTTGTCCTTAATCCGGCCGCCGCTGCAGGCCGCTGTGGCCGGGAGCTGCCGCAGCTGCTGCAGTGCCGAGCCGCCCGCACGTGGGACGTAACGCCGGTCAGCAGAGGCTGGCACAGAGGATGGTTTTTCTGTCTCAGCAAAGAATTCGATGTAAATCTTGCATGAATCTACTTCTGCTTTGCCTAATAAAAGGCAGAAATAACCCGTGTTCGGGAATGGAATACAAAGGCAGGTCCTCAGAATGCGTCACACTGAACTTTCAGGATCGTATCTGCCGGATTGCGCAGGGCAGCAGCTTGCCGCTGTTCTGTTCGGTCTCCTCCAGTCAGCAGACCGCATGTTCTGACTTAGAGCAGCAATTGGGCTTCGTGCGAAGGCCGGTCCCTTTAACATTGACAGTATGCACTCTGCAGTGCTTATGGATGACCACATGAAACAGCATAGATCTCTGCCCGAAGCAGACAGTGTTAGATAGCAGCACTGCTGGTCAGACTAAATGCTCGTGATTCTGTAGCATGGTGTATTAACACTGAGAAATTACTCTCTAGCTGAACCAGTTGTGAGGAACGAACTTCATAACATGCCTGATGAATCAGTGTTCATCTACTGTCTTGTTGGAGACAGAGCCTAGTAAGTAACTGTTTTAATGCAAACAAACATTTCTTAGCTCTTCCTGGCCTGGAAGTTAACTAACCTCTTGGTACTAACAACTGAATTAGTTCTGTGAATGTAGAGGTCTACAGTTCCCTTAAGTGGACTACTTGCATGTTCTAACAAGGAGATGGGGAGGTGGGAGGCAGAATCATCCCTTTGAAAGAATTTTAACAGTCGAATTTCAAACTGTATTTTTACAAGTTCTGTGTAACTACACTCTTTGCTAACAGCTGGAAAGATCCTAACAATGAATTCAGGAAGAATCTGAAACTAACAGGAGTGCCTACACTACTTAAATACGGAACAGTAAGTCATTTATTGTATGCTGTGGGTCTACATGTTTTCTGATACCTTCTCTTGTTTCAGGAGAACGGACAGTGTGGGACACCTTTCCACTCTTATCCATGCACTTTTCCTAGTTCAGATTAGTTTTCTCTCAGGGAACTACCTCCCTCCTGTAGAACGTTCTCTGTAATGAACTTATCAAATAAAATACATACACTTAACACATCTTGTTTGAGGGGTAGGCTAAGTACTTAGCAACATGTTGTCAGTTTTCTGACTTACAGCTTCTCAAGTATTAAGAACTCCAAATGCTGGATTATAGGAGTACAGTAGGATTGTGTGTAGCATACTCCTAATTCAGACAGACTACAGCTCTCACTCTTGTGTACTCTCCTATGTAACAAAAACATTTACATACCACACCAAGTTTTAACTTGGACCCACTATTTAAATCAACAGTTACTTTTGTAGGAATGCTTCAAAGAACAGAAAACACACAGGCATTTTTCATCTATCCTTACACTGCTTTTTCTGCTCCACACACCAACTCCCACTTGCCATCTAGCAATAATGGTTGCTGTAGTATGGCTAATACTATTAGGTGCAAATAGCTCTAGTCTAGAACAGATTTGTTAATTACTCCTAAAAACATCTTTTCTTTCAGCCTCAGAAGTTGGTTGAAGAAGAATGTTTTAAAGCAGATCTTGTGCGTATGTTGTTTACTGAAGATTAAATCCTCCAGTAGTCAATCATTTATGAAGATGTTTGTCTTGTTAATTGCATTGCTCTTTCCTGGAATCCTCACTTTTTTTTTTCCCCCCCAAACTGTCATGGTAAATTACTTTTGTCTAATCAAGATGAATGTCATTAAATTCTAGGTTCAAACCTTTTCACTAAAGTCTTGCAACAAAAAAGTTTTCTTCGTTGAAATAAATTTTAGTCTGCCAAGTCTCTTTACAAAGAAGCCAAGCTCAAAATGCAAACCAAGGTGGTAGCCTACTTTTTCTTAACAGTAATACTTAATTACTAAGTTAGACCTTTTAATAGTGGATGAGGGGGAGGTGGAGAAGAGCGGTAGAAGAAAATACTTTTTCTTCCTGAAGCTAATTTTATGCAGCTGCTGAAGCTGTCAAGATAAGTTTTCAATATAATGTTTAATGGCTGATCTGTTCAGCACCAAGTATGATGAGGTGAGGGCTAGCAGTCTCCCTGTCACTGTGCTGCCGCACCTACTCCTACAAGAATATGAAATACAGTGTGAATACAGCATGAACACAATCTAAAATATGAAAATGAAATCCTTCATAGCTACCATGATCTACATTCTTACAGAAAAAAACAACAACCCAACAGCTATACAAGAAGGCATGATAAATGTTTCTCCAATTTTGCAAGTGTTTACAACTTCTTTGTAACAGAACCTAAGAAAACAGGCCATAGCTCTGTTCCACTAAAGTTTCTCATTACCCATCTTTGCTCCACTCTGGTAGTCCTTATCTCTTCACACTTCATTTTTTTTGTCTCTAAAATACATTGTGAAGAGAATTCTTAAGACACCCCTGCCCACACCCTCAAAAAAAGCAAGTAAATAGAATGGACAAGTAATAGCTCAGCTTTGTTTCCAGGCAGAAAATTACAAATTCAATTTTGTGCAACAACCATAATCACTTCAGCTTTGCTCATAAAGAGCAGTACATCTTAGTCATGACGCTCGGAGACATATCATTGTTCTCCACAAAACGTGCCTGCACTGTAGAAGCTTCTGAACTACATTTTTTGTTGATACAACAATGTCAGTGCCTTCAAAAATTAGGCTTGGTTTTCAAAAGGAACAAATACTGTAAGTAATACTCTTAACAAGATTGCCCATGCTACAAAAGAAATGGCAGTAGATTTTTACAATAGGAGACTGAAACATGTTACAAGCTGGTGAAAGACAAAGTCACTTGACATCACACATTAAGTGTATACACACAGCAAAACCTACAAAAGACAAAAGACTTCATTCCTTTCTTGTAAATACTTGGATTAATGCAAAGTATACATTATCATCGCTCTTCCAAGTGCTTTTCATTTTACAGAGGTGTTGTTTTGTTGCTGCTGCTCTGCTAGTGCTTGCTGCAGGCGCATTCTCTTCCGTGAATAGTGCTGCCAGTGAAGAATCTGCTGCTCATCAATAAACTTAGCACACTGAGCATTTACCAGTTCTTTGCGAAAGTGTTCATACTGGAGCAGCTCTAACATATGCAAACACTGAGGATACCTGGATTTAAAAAAACGAGTTTTACAAGGTACACTAAAGCTGGAGTCTCCAGTATCTCTCCAGTTCATTATTTTAGTCATTTAATGCTTTATGCAAGTACCTGAAACACAGGGCTGTACATATGCAGTGTAACTTAATATCTTCAGTAACTACAAAGCCATAAAACATGGAATCTAATAACAACATAAGTACATAACATACCTGATTAGAATAACTTTTCCAAAGATTAGATTTCATTAAAACAAATACAAATTAACTAGAATAGCTGTTTCCAGAGCTCATTTGAAGTAAACAAAAACTGTTCAAAAACTGTGAAAGAGTTTTAACATTAACAGAAAAATGATTCTTTGTGTAGGTACTAACAGTGCAAAAGTCACTCTCAGAATGTATTTAGTGGGCTGAAGTAGTTTTGTCCCATGATTTTCAGCAATCTTGTTTTAAGCAGATACAAAGTGCAGATAAAGGTTGCAAAAGGCAAATTCACGCATAAGTCAAGAGTGAAACGTTCTCTAATTCTGTCTATTCCAGACTACAGGAAACAGGAAAATTTATACTGCATATAAACACAGTGCAGGTTTTGGTTGCAGGGAGAAATCAAATATGGACATGGTACTTTACAGTGCATAACAGAAGGTAAAAATCATTAAAATGCAGAAACCTAAGGGAGTTTAATACTTACTTCAAGTATTTTGCATATTCAGGTTCTTTCCAATACAGTAAATATTTAAGATAGTTTACAAAAGCTTTGTCTTTGAAGTATCCTCTTTGTGCAAGAACTGAAATAACAGACAAGGAATTGTCAGCTATAGAAATATGAAAAATTTGCCAAAGTTCATGAATATGTATTCACAAAACTATACAAAAGAGGCACGCGAGTCATAGTTTTATCACTGCAAGTTTTTACAACTCAGTAAAAAACGTATCTTAACATTCTAAGTATAGTGAGTTGGTCTCATCTCCTCTGCCCCATATAACTTTTACAAGGATGTGAAAAGTTTTCAAAAACAGGAACTTCTGACACATCAAAACTGTCAGAGAAAACCAAAGAAATTAAGTACTTTACCTGAAATTATTATTAGTATTAGTTAAATTCTGGTACTTCTTAGATTGAAATTAATATTATTTATTTTTTACTACAGATGTGAACTTATTCTCCACTAGACAGATGCATTTTATTTCAATAAATATTTATTTCACATTTTAAAGGTATTGTTTCCTCCCTCTTCCACCTCACCTTTGAAATTTGGACAAATTAAAGCATTCTTGGACTGCTTTTATCCTGTTAAAGACTCTTCCCTTTTCTTTGTTTAGCCTTTCTCCTCCTCCCCCCCGTTTATTTGTAATCATTCTGTAATCATTAAGCTGTTAAATAATATTAACTTCTCAGGACTCTGACATTAAGTACTCACAGTTGAGATAATTGGGATTTGCTAGGCACTGAACAAACTCCAACTCCAGCTGGAACCGAAGTCGATTTCCTGTATCATCTGATTAGGTGAGAAAAAAAAGTAAAAACTGGACCCACGTGATAGATTTGGAAGTGAGTTTCTCAATTTGCACCATACAAATAGAAACATTTAGAGAGGAGATAAAGCAGTAATATGGGTTCTCTTAGCACAGTCTTTTCTATTACATGAATCTGTGTTGGGCCCATGTTAATACGTGTGCTGTTGGTGTTTTAAACAACTAAACATGATGCAAACAACAGAGAAATACCCTCTGACTTCATGTAGAATAAAGGGAAAGGGAAGAGAAAGGGACCAGGCATTGGTAGAAGGAAAATTTGAGAAGTTAAGTAAAGAGTACTGCAAACAGCTCACTGAAAGCTTCCTTGCACATAATTTAAGAAATGCTTACTGTGAGGCTGCCTTTTTTGTTTGCATATCCAGGGGTCAGCACGATTCTACCGTCCTATGAAGAAAGGCTGAGGGAGCTGGGCTTGCTCAGCCTGGAGAAGAGAAGGCTTAGGGAGACCTTACTGTGGTCTTTCCATATGGAAAGGGAGCTTATAAAAGAAGATGGAGGCTTAACTTTTCATCCTGACTAAAAACAACAGGACAAGGGGAACGAAAAACAAACAAACAAAAAAAAGCAGGTTAGATGTCAGGCAGAAATTCTTTTCTGGCAGGGCGGCGAGGCCCTGGCTGCCCAGAACCGTGGTGCCCCGCGCCCGGAGGTGCATCAGGGCGGGCTGGAAGGGGCCCCGCGGAGGCGCTCTGGCGGGAGGTGCCCAGCGCGGCAGAGTTGGAACAAGCCGGCCTGCAAGGTCCCTTCCGTCCCACCGTTCGGGTCTCTATGAAAGATTTAGCTCCCCGACCACAGACGCAACGTGGGGTGCCTCCGCTGCCGCGGCGCCTCCACGAACGACGCGAAGCACTCCAACGGGGCAAACCGGCGCTCTCTCCCTGGTCAGCATCGCTCGCCCTGCCCGACCCCCGCCGCGCCGCAACGCGCCGCTCACCTGTATCCATGGCGGCCAGCCGAGCTGCGCCCCCCGCCCGGGCTCAAAATGGCGGCGGGAACGCCCGCTGTCGGCAGACGGAAGCCCGGCGGGCGGTGCAGCGGGGCGAGCTGGGAAGGCGGCGGCGTCTCCTAGCAACGAGCTACGCCGCGCGGCCGGGCCTGCGGAAGCGGATGTCGCCGATGCAGGCGGCGGCTCGCGGTGGCAGCCACGTCGGCTGCGGGACACGGGCCTGGAACTTACCTGGCACTGCTGTAGCTCTTCTGGGAGGCAGAGACGTGGCGTCAAGACCTCTTTTTTTCCCGTCGATTTTTGGACATATGTTTTCATGATTGTGCCGTGAGCAAGCCAGTGCTGAAGATGTCCCAGGAGGGCCTCATATTCCAATCCGAGCTATTCATTTTTCCCCTTTATTTTGAAAGGAAGCTGTTACCAGACAGGCAATACAGTTCCAAATCCATTAGAAGGTACCTTTGGGATCAGCATTCGGTTTTTTTTTCTAGGCATGTGTGTGCTTGAGCAGTGAAAGGTAAAAGAGGACTGTATGCCCGGAACATTCATTTTAGCCTTGCGCTGGATGAGCCATTGTTGAACATTTCCAAATCAGAAGGAAATGGAAGGGAGGGAATCGCTCCTGACAGACCTGTTTTGCTGGTTGTTTTTTGGTTGTTGGTTGGTTTGTTGTTTCTTTGCTTTTCTTAGTCTTTCTGCATGTTAGACTTTTTTTTTTTTTTTTTTTTTTTTTCCCATAGCAACCTATGGTAAGCTGATTTCAGTCAACCTCTACAGTTTATTCATTAAAAAGTTGTATCATAGTGAAACCAATTAAACAAACACTACCGGAACGTGGAACAGGACTGCACTGTTGCATCTAGAAAAGAGTCCAGCACTCGGATTGCAAGTTTATTCCTAATGCTGCATTTATGGTTGGGGTCCCACACTCAATTTTTGTATCTTGGTTAAAACAAAAACTGGTAGGGTTTGCATTGCATTATTAGACACTTGTGTACCAGTATGCACTACACAGACTCAACGTGAATCCTGACTAATTCTTTTTTTAAATTTGTGATTTGCGCTTTTCAGTTGTTAAACTATTTTCAGTGTCTTAGCATTTTTCTGTAATGCTATCTCTTTCTGTGTAGTGTAATTATTCCCCCTTAGCCCCACTAGAAATTAGGTTATAAGACTGCCTAAAAAAGACTTCTGCATTACTTTCCTTAATAAAATAGGACTTTTTTTTTTTTTTAACAAGGTTTTAGCGGTTGTGAGTACTAACATTACTATAGCAAAATTAGCCAGTCACTCCCCAGTAAACATAGACTTTCGTCTAAAAGCAGAGATCAAACAGATCCCATGCATCTACAGTGCTATTCTGGAATGTGATTTATCTCCCAAGACTGACTTCAGAGGAGAGAATCCTAAGAAAGGCTTGGTCACATGAATTAAATTACTATGTAGGTTTGCCAGAGTAAAGTGAAAGAACTCAATTCTTGGCCATCAAAACTAGGAACAAAATTGAAAGTTAGAGTTATACTACAAAAACTAAGAATGTTCTCTAGGAAAAGCTGATTTATGCTTTTAAATATTAGCTTAGTCAGACTTTCAGGGAAGAGATTAAAATTCATATCTTAGCCAAGAGTTTTCTTTTTTATCATCATGAAATCAAAACATCACAGTCTCGGTTTCTCCTTTTATAGGAGTTAAACTGCTATCCCTATTGTTCTGTGTTTGAGCACTGGCACTGAACCCTTGTTTTCCTAAAGCATTTTGAGAGTATGCTAATAGTAGATCTAGATATAAAACAGACACTGGCTAACAAACAGACTAGATAATGTTTTCTACCCGAAGCAAATAAAGCTATTCAAAGTTAAAAATTACACTCAAAAAAAGGACACTTTGCTGCAGTAGTAATTATAGACAGCATCAGGTAGGCGACAATAAAATCAAGTTTGTGATATGTCCTTATGAATTATATATTTAGGAATTATATATTTATACACAGGAGAAAGTAGAGTCTCGTATGATGTGCTATGAGCTCCTGAAGATGAAAACTGGGAAGTGAGACACTGCTAAGAGTTTATGATATCACAGTACAGTGCATTTGCATCAAAAAGAAAAGGTTCAGGAAAGCTTTACAACTGAAAACAACGATCTCATTGAACAGTAAGTACTTCATGCCCGATGCTTAGACCCTCAGACATCTGCTTTTTTTGTAGAATGCAAAATTATATTGACATGGATAATGACATCTTAAAAGATCTTACTCGTAGAATGTAATACAGAATTTTGCAGACTGGAGAGTAGTCTGCTTCAAATAGAGTTAAATAACAGAGAACAGAGCATGCATTATGTTAGCATTATGTTATAAATATACCCAGCCAGTACAAACTCTGCAATTTTTTTACTCCAGTGTTATAATTACAATTGAATAGAAGCAAGATCATAGTTATCACTGACTGAAACAATTGTTAGAGCATATTTAGTTAAAGGCTTAACTATTCATCAGGGTTTTTTTTGTTTGTTTTTTTAGGTCAAGTAATAGGCAGGTAACACCTTTCAGAAGTGAAGCTATCACAGTCACCATAGAACAGTCTTCATTTGAAGACTATTAAACTCCATTGAGCGAAGAAGTAAGTTTGGCAAAAAGGTGTAAAAAGACTTGGATGTCTGTGATTTACAGACCTGGCAATGTGTACTCATATAACTATGGTACTCCTCCATATACAGAAGGCCAATATGAAGCCAAGAATTCCAAACTAAAAGGCAAATGTTCAGAAAGCATTTTGTTTTTCTTTAATAAATTGGTTAGAAATGTCAGTCTTCTTAGGACATGTACAATACGGATAACTTTGAGGTCAGCCTTTTGTAAGGAGCAATATGATTTGAACTTTAGAACAACACTGCAATCAACATTTTCACAAGGTATTGCTTGTCATTTTGAAGCAAATTTTAAGGTGCTTTAAGGAAATAATTCTGTAGTGAGCCAAGAAATATGGGACCTTATTTAAAAAAAAATAGAGAAGCATCCTGGCTCCACAACTGACGACAAAGTTTGAAAATGTGACCTTCTCCTCCGTAACAGCCTAAAATTCAAGAGCTAGATGAGCACACCATCACCCCACATGCAGAAGTACTGACTAACTAAATTTTGGATGTCTAACTGAAATTTGGATGTCTAGTTTAGGTTGTTCGGATTTGGCTATACCAAAACAGCAGATAAATTGGTTTTGTAGGTTTTGTAACTGATAAATACATTTTAATCCCCCTCCTCCCAATTTCCAGACATGAACAACAGAAACAAGTAGTAGACTATTGCACAGAGCTTCTCTGACAGCTCATAGACTGAATTCTTGCCTAGTGAAGGGGGTCAAAACCTCAAAGCTTTCCTGAAATTTTGAGGGGAATGGAAGAGCACTAGCATAATTGTCTAGAAAAATAAAGTTGGTAGATCATGCACATTCAACTTGTTCATCCCAGAAATGCTGAATGGGCCAAACTGCTGTAACCTCTGCTGGAAATCCAGATCCCAAAGAGCTTTAGACTTAAGGATGCTTAGGACAAGTGCTAAACCACATGCACCATTTAGATGGATTGTTATTAGCAGAAGCATTTCCAGTGTGCAGTACTGCTAGCCCATCAGTCCTCTTATTCAAGAGAACAGGGTCTTTAATTCCACTAATTTATTATTGTTTATTTCTGCCATCAGGTCTATAATGCTGATAGACATAAGTATTAATATTTAGATAAAAATGAGTCATGCTAGTGAAATCGTTGTGGCTAAATAGAAAAAAACAAGAAATCAATTGTTTGGATTTTCTTTTTTTTTCTATTATCATCTCACCTGCCTGATTTGAGAGAATCAAGAGAACTAGATTCTTCTGATCTTGTACAGGAATATACAGCTGCACTTGAAATAGTATTGCACTTTTATAGCTGAAGAAAAGAGTGCTAGAAACACAAGGTCTCTGGTAATGAAAATGTTATGATTCGTGGGATTCTTTCCTGCTGGCAAGTAAAACTTGAAATATCCCATACAAATTCACCCACAAGCTCATCCACCCATGATGAAAATAACTTTAATTCTTGGTCATTGCAAAGGTGGTATACAAATAGTTACAATTTCATGGATGCCTACCTAAATATTTGGCAACAACATAAGACCCTTCTTTAATTGCTTGCTAGCCAACCTGTCAATACTTACAGTTAAGATTGTACAGCACTTATTCAAACAAAAATGCTGAACTCCTTAGGGAGCAAATCTAAATATAACTCATGTAGACAAGTCCTATAATCTCTGAACATCAGGCCTACACTAGAATGGACTATGTCCATGCATACTTAAATAATGTGAAGTAACCTGGAGCTTATGAATAATTACACAGCAGTGTAAAACACACCTTGACGTGTTACTTGTGTTGTGTTCGATTTTATTTCTTGCCATATTGCAGAGTTAAAATCTTAATTGAAATATTTTTAATAATTGCTATAGAATCACATTTTCTCTGGGATAAGTTCATCAGTCTCTCTTGGCCCCCTGCTCATATGTTACAATTAATAACCTGTTTGTCAGCTGTTTGAGGTTTTTTTTAAGCCTAATGAAAGCAGCCTATTGTATTTTGTATCTGTTCTTTCCTAGGCTACTTTCTACATTAAAAAAAATAATAGTGATAAAAAATTAATGTACATGTTTGTAGAGAACACTAAGGAATGTTTGTATCTCTTCCTATAATAATAATTTCAGAACTGTTTGATCTTGCAGACCTCCTGTTCTACCACTGCAAGAACAAAAGGAGCAGATGTGCCAGGATTTGTTCCTTGATTATTTTTCTTTCTCTTGAGCACATCGAGATCAATAGAATACTTCACATTTCCTTAACTGACTTTGGGTCTCTCACCACCTTAACTCTACAATTTGCTTTGGAAATTCAAGAGAAAAGATAAAAACCTAGTGCAAGATTAGCATCCTGGGATGACCCTTTCTCTTGAATCAGAAAAGTAATTATAAAAACTAAAGGGAAAGAGTACGCAATGAATATCTGTTCACCTGGGATTAGAGTCACCACTGTCAATTCATGTACTTTTATTTATCTTTTGGATTTGGTGGACAGATCACTTGCTCGAGAAGGAATTGGCTGGATGGTTGCACTCAGAGAATTGCGGTGAGTGGCTCAACGTCCATGTGGAGACCGGTGGCAAGCGGTGTTCCTCAGGGACCAGTGCTAACATCTTTGTAGATGACACGGACAGTGGGATTGAGTGCAGCCTCAGCCAGTCTGCAGATGACACCAAGCTCAGTGGTTCAGTTAACGTGCTAGATGATCTTAAAGGCTGCTTCTAACCCAAACCATCCTAGGACTTTTGCCTCCTAGGATTTATGCCTCCCAAAACATTTAGGGCCTTTTTTCTGATCCTCTGATTCCCACTCTTAGAGGTGATAAAGCTAGAGGGAGAAAAAACCATCCTTGTAATTTTAATTCCTTAAAGCTTCTCAGGAGGCAGAGAATCCTGACCTTCTCCCTAACTATATTATACTGTGCAGGTACCGGTCTGCAGGTAGATCAGTTAAAATGCAGTGCAATAGAAGAACTCCACAATTGAGATAACAGCTGCAGTGATATATATAAATTAGCAAAGACTGGAGAGGTGTTTCATGAAGGACACGTGCGTCAAATTAACTCCTAGAATGCTGACCATCATCAGCTCCTATCAGTCCAAAATGAAAAAGAAAATAACTCCTAATAGTTAGGCCCTAATCACTTGCAGGGAAAAAAGTCAATATTTATATATTTGAATACCTATTAAACAAGGGTAAATCTCCCAGTACGAATTCTCAAAGGATTGTTTCTAACTGGGACATTTCCAGTATATTAGGGTGATATATTATGATTTGCTCTTATTGATCTAGTTCACATATATAGACAGTTATGATAAAAAGAGTCAAGGGTAAGCTCTGAAACGAGACATTGGAAGGCAGATGAGGTTAAGGGGCTACTCTCAGGGAAGTTTCAGCTGTTGTATTTTTCCCCCAGCCTTTGTTAAAAGAGGAGCTAAAACCTCCGCCACCTTCAGAGAAAATTTTATTTTTAACCATATGGTCAAGACAAGCTGTTGAAGAAAAATACACACTTGCTCCAGAAATAATCACTGCTTAATTGAAAAAAATCACCGCTTAATCAAAAAATGGTAGTAGTTTTATTTCTAATGGAAAATTTGATATTCAACTTGCTTGCCAAAATATTTGTGAAGACCCAACCCACATTATTGTTCACGAAGAATAATTCACACATGTTGGCTGTGATAGTATCTGGTACACCCAGTTCTGTCAACAGTATGGTCTAATAATGTTTTATGAGACCCACATTCTGACCTGCATGAGTTTATGAAAACTTCTTGAAAAGCTGCATGCTAAAAAAGACCACTGAGTAATTAGATGTGGGTAAATAAAGTAAACACAGAAAGGATAACTTTTTTTTTCCCCTGACAGGAAGAACGACTTCTTCCTTATGACCAGAATAGACCATCTACATTTACACTGTAACTAATGAGCAACTGTTGACACAGTGCCACAGAAAAAAGACAAAAAAACTAGATGGGCAACCAAATCTTTTTCCTATAGTCAGATCTGTTTTTAAAAAGCTACCAAATACATCGTTTAACAATTCCTAATCGTCTTAGAGCAATGTGCTTTCCAAACCTTTTACTTTCCAAATGACTTCCAAGTGTCCAGGGCTGTAGTTTTATCACATCACACATGTGAAAACAATTACTAGCTGGTTCAGTATGGCTGACTAACCTGTACTAACAAAGTCCACACTAAAATCCTGCCATACTTTCTTTTGGCTTTGGTGGTCCATGTTTTGAAGTGGGAGGAAAAGGGATTCTTTTATGCCACTATCTAAAGACAACTTGTACATAAAGCTAAAACATTTTGGTTTGAAGAAAAACAAATGCCATGTCTCATGATTCCTATTCTGTAGTGCTGGAAGATAAACATAACTAGTTCCAGTAACAAAGCATTGTCTTTTCATTACCTATTGTAAATAACACATTTGCTTACTCAGGGCACAGGAGCAGGACGACACATATGCTTGACAGTGAAGAAAAATGTGTTCGCGCTCATTATTCTGGAGACTGTGCAAGTATATTTCTTAAAAAACTGCTGTGTTTCTTAGATTCCTATCATCTTTTATTCTGGAATGAACAGAACAGCTTGTAGCATATGCCACCAGCTTTGGTTCTGCCTGAGCATTTTTAAAGGCAGAAACTCAAGTTATCAATTAGATGATGAAAGGAAGCATTGATACACAGGCCTGAAGATAGTTGAAGCAGTGCTGAAATCTGCTTTGCACTGATTTTCTATGGTGCGTACTACTGTGGATCTTACTGGAGCAATATTATGCTACAGTGGAAGGCAATGCAGAAACAGGTGATCTGCTGCGTCACACAGGAGAAAATCTGTGCCAGACAGAAGATAGTCTTAATATTTTATTTGTCTGCCTCTAATTCTACAATTTGCCATTTAAATCAAATACTCATTTATAAAGATGTCATAAATAAGGATGTCTCAGAGGGATGTACTCGAGATCAACAGGGCAACAAGGTGACACATCAAGCGCACCGCATTTATTAAAAGAGTCAGAGTCCTTTCTTTACACCACCATGAGTATTTTCCTCCCCGATCTGGCACGTCTGTAACTCACCCAGTGAAACCATTCCAGAAAATGACATCTGTTTTCTACTTTCGTAACAAAAGAAAGCACTTTCCTAGCTGAGAGGAGGGCACTTTCTTCCCATCAAGATACTTTCAGAACGTTCCTTTCTGCAAACAGGAGAGGGAAGTACCTGTCCTATACCCTCAAGCTGAAACCATTTTTTGAGGAATTTGGATCTGTATAAATTGAGAGAGCCAAGCTCAGTGTTACCCAGCCACACCACTGTACCTCACCTGCAACAGTGAAGATCAAACGCTATGAAGAATCTTGCAGTTGATGAAGTGTCCTCATATTACGAGGACTGTCAAAACAAAAGTCACTTTCTCAAATGCAATTAGATATCTACAGATGCAAGTCAGCATTAAGTGATGATTTCCAAAGCATAGGAGGTGCTTAGTTGGTTCTGGCTTTACATCCTTAAATGAATACTGTGATAACCTTCAGGTGGTGACTAACACCTGTGACAAAGCTATTTCTTGGCAACAGAACTGATCTTTTCCTTAGAAACACTTTGCAAGTGTTTATCCACACATCCCATCATTCCATGGAAGAGGTATGAGGCTGCATCACATGCAGCCAGCTAGGTAGACAGAATGCTATTGGAGATACCAGGAACAACAGTCAGTGGAGAGTTTATGGTGCGTAGCACCTTGAAAGACCATAGAAGATAAAAGCATGAAACTCAAATCAATACTGAAGAAATTTTCTGCTCATAAAAGCAACTAGTGATCTTGTGGATATATGCACTTGACTCGCTTTTAAAGTTAAAACATGAATATTTTTTACAGTTATGTAAGGAACATTCATGTTAACTACAAACCTGTTAAATATTCTACACACGTTATAGTGCCAGAGGCCAGATGTAGCTTTTTTCCCCCCCCTCAAGGTGGAAAATTACCCTTAAAGTAGAAATAAGTTGACCCTTATTTCTTCACAACATCCTATGAGGTAGATAAGTTCCGTAATATCTTTTCAGAATGGGAAACAGAGATAAAAAGAAGTAAATTGACCTGCCTGAGGTTGTACAGCAAATCCAGAAACAAAAACTTGGGTCATGATCATAGATGTGTCCACTACAACACAAGGCCTTACATCCCAACTTCATCTTCAAGGCTAAATAAACATTCATACACAATGACAAGATACACCTAGTCCAACATTAATTTTTTGACTGACTTTTGCTTCAGAAGTTACATGAATAGGTGCTACAGTTTTGTCACAGGACCTGGATTCTAAAGTACACAATCAGCACAAGCCCTGTCATTTGCACCCCTTATTGTTTGCAAGGCCTTCAATTAGAGCCTCTCTCTTGCCTTGTTTCCACTTCAAAATTCTACAGTTATTAAATAAGATGAATCCAGGAGCTTTTCCAGTAGGTGTGAAATCCTATGCTCGACCAGTCATTTCCAAGCTGGCACTAACAAAACCTGTGAAACCACATCTACCTGGAGCCAATGGAGGAAAGATTCTTGACCCTACCAGTGCAAGGAACACACAGCCAACATAATTGCTCAAGACTTCAACAGAATCTTAACTAGCATGGCATCACATTATCCTGACTCTCGATAATGGTGTCTAAACGCACTGAGATCTGGGAATGAAAACAAGGTGATCAAAAACATTTGCATGCTGACTTGGAGACAGCTCACCACAAGGTTGAATCCAGATTAAAACATAACAGACTTTACCCTAAATAAGTGACATTGGGAATTTCTTTGTACAGCTGCTGACTTGTTGATATGTAGCAGTTAATGAATTGTCAGCTCTTAACTGGGTCCAATGACAATGATTTACAGATACATACCAGTGATAAAATAGTCCAAACTATTTGATACGACAGCTTGCCCTCTTTTTATTTCATAAGTTAAATAAATTCTAACTCTTGACCTTGGTTGAAAATGCAGTGAATCACTTGATCATACTTATGATCCAAACATACCATAATTAAACAGCACATTTGTCTCCAGCATGACTGTAATGAGTTGGTCCATACTTGATCTGATGTGTGACTCCCAGAAGGTAGCATCTAACACTGGATCTGAAACAGCGACAAGGCTCTATGTTTCGGCAACAGGAAGTAGGATTACGGGAACTTTCCTTGTATAACATGAATTCTTCATTGCTCACTGATTAGTTGTGCTATTTGCCCATGTTGGGAATGTGTCCAGCTCAAATATAGGTCTTCCCCATGTGTTGATTGCCAGTGTGACACAGAAGACTCCAATGATGTTCATTACTATTCCAGTCCTAACCTACAAGGATGAAAGTTCAAACCAACAACAACATAACAGCACAGCAAGTTATAGCAAGGCATATTCATACAAAAAAAAAAAAAAAAAAAAAGAAAAAGAACAAGGAAAGAAATAGTCAAAGCACAGAAATAGCCACAGTACCCACTGCCCTATGTTCTTGCTTAGATAGAAATACCAGGGAACGCACTGCCCAAAGCTACTGAATGCTTTGCTGTTCAACAGGTCTAGGAGATTTAGTAGACTTTCAAGAAGCTGCTCGTATTAGTTAAAGAGTAGCTTCCATGCCCTTCCAGATTCCAGTTAGAAAACTGATAATGTTTGGATGTTCAGCACAGAACCTGGTACTGTGTGATCCACAGCCAACCAGAAGACCAAAGTACAGGATGACTGGACTTGTTACCTTCTACTTTCAGCTATTTATCTTTGCAAAAGCCCCAGAAGACACTGGAAAGCACCAGCTGCATTTTAATGCTTTGGTGTTTAAGAGACACTTGTCAGCTTTGACTTTTCAGTTGGACTAGAGAGTATGTCTGCCAAAGCCTATGAGAAAGGTAATATTGCTGCAGAGACACCAATCCTTACAGGAGTAAAGAAAAGGGCATAAGTTATTAGTTACAGCCCATAAGAGTGCTCAGGTACTTTGTAAATATTAGGAGAAGAAAATTAAACTCTTGTCATGTTTCAGGGGAAGTACAATGGAGAACTTCAGACAAGAGACCAGGCAGTTCGTCATCTTACCATGTCCAAAACCCGGATGTGGCCATAGGAAAACACTATTGCATTTGGAGGTGTCGCAACAGGCAGCATGAAGGCAAAGGAAGCACTCAGAGTACTTGGCAGCATAACGTACAAAGGGTGGATCTTGACAGATACAGCCTGCAACAAAACAAAAACAATTATCATGCTAGAAGTGTTCCAAAGAAAAAGAGAACATCTCCCAAACCTCTAAGACACATAGGTTCAGTTAATTCCCTGGTGTTACATCATCAGAGTAATTTTCAAGCATTTTATTATGGAATCTACACACACTTAAAGATAACTTTGGTCTCTCTCCCCCACAGTACTTAAAAGAATGCTTGATTCTTTCTTGTTGCTCTACAGTATAATTTGGAGTTCTGGTCAAATTTACCCAGCAATCTTTTCTTTGACCTTGGGTTGCATTTTTAGAGCATTTGCTGGGTTAATACAAGGATGGAACTATAATTACAAAGCATGGGGAGTAACACTTTTAGACATTACATAAACTTTGTGGGACTCAGAACTGCAGTGACTAGGAGCACAGCACCTTTATTTGGACAATTCTATCTTGATGAAGTGACTTGGAAAGTACAGCCACTTTTTTCTAAGTTAAACAACAAAATATCTTATTTTTTTTCCTTCATGCTTGCATTTCCATTCTGGTTAGAAAAGGCAGCAATTGCAACTGCTTTTATAGCAAAACTTACCAGGTTTTTCTCCCTAAGGTTTAAAGTTGTTCTGTCTTAATACACAAAATGTATTCCTAATGATCAAGCCCACCACTTTTCATATTCTAGTGTAAATGATGAAGATAAAGGATCCCTCCAAAAGGATTAATAGAAGAAACTGGTGAGTATTTTTTTGCTTTAGATTTTCCAGTTCTGAGTTGATGGCTCAAATATAAAGTGACCAGAAATAATTGATGTAGAGTGAACTATATTAAAAAAGTGACTCTCTCTTCAGTTCCTCCCCAGCCAAGGGGCGCTCCTCATGGCAGGCTTGAAATGGCTTCCCGAGTTAGCTTCTTCCCCCAAGAAGCCAGTATCCCAGGCTTCAGGTGTATGGATAGGACAAACTGGATGAAGTCCGTATTCCTACTGCCCACCTGCTTACAATGTTATAAATATGGCAGTAGTCTTAAAGATATAAATTTGACTCTTTCTACCAACATCAGATAAAGTCAATATCTATTAGGGTATGCTGTCAGATAGACTATTTCATTACTGGATTTCAGAGAAAAAAAAAAAAAACGAGAAAGTAAATGTGATGTTTTGTCACTAGAAACTGTCTGTTTACTTCTGATCAGTCGACAGCATAACAAGATGGAAGCAATCTTACCATGGATGAAAAGACAGGTAGGAAGAGAGTGGCTGTGGCAACATTACTGGTGCATTCAGTGAAGACTGCTATAATAAGGGAAAGTACTGTTGCAATGGACCAGGGTGGAATAGATCCTAATGGAGTCATCTGACGACCCAGCCAACCTGACAGTCCAGAGTTCTGATAAGAAAAAAGTATTTTTTTCAGTGAGGTTTAGACTCCCTGACTCAGGAGCAGAAAACTCATTATGGGTAGTGTTCCTAACAAATAATGCTAAGTGGCTCACAAATTACATAACTGCCCCTCATGAAAGTTCAAAAACCTGTCACAAACACTAAAAGGAATTCCTTGCCAACTGGACAAAACACTCAGCCACGCTTCCCTAATTTTCCTAGAGCCAAAATACTTGTTCATGTTTTGGTTATATATATTTTTTTTTTTTACTACATAGAAATAACTATTGCTGAGACTACTGCAAATACTTAATGAATCAGTCACAAGGTTCCTACAATTAATTTTTAATGTTTCTGAAGATAACAAGGCTGTATGAGTATTCTATGTTATGAAAACACAGCAATTGATTCAAAGTGCTTACAGAGCCTTTGACTAGACAGCTTGCAATATTCCAGAACTTTAATAATGTAAATATGGTGAATGAATGTAACAGACCAGAGCTTTAATTTACCCCATTGTTTAAGAATTGTCTAGGCACAAAACTTAGACCTGAACACGAACTTCCCCAAAGCATGACACGCTTGATATCTAAGGCTATGACTTTAATGCATCTTAGCACAACGAAGTGGGCTTCTATTTTTTTTTTTTTTTTTTTTTTTTTAATTCTTATGCTTCTATTTTTTCTAGTCAGGGATGGGATCAGGATGACAATAGAAATAAGAAAGGCTGCTCTCCTTATCTCTGCAGCCAGTGAAGATAAATTAGACAAACCTGATCAGTGCATGCAAGTTCCTGAAAAAGAGGTAGAAATATTCACCTTTCCTCTTATTTTTTGAGAATTGGTATCTACCTCCAAATGCAAACATTTCTACTGAGTTCGCCTTTGGGTGCATGCCCAGTAATACAGGACAGGAAAATAAACCAGGCAAGTCCACCTCTGAGTTAGAGAACAATAAATATCAGAACATACTGCGCTTGCATCAGCCAAAGCAAAACCTCCTCCCAGCAGCAGCACAATGTTCCAGGGCATCTTCCTCTGAACCACATTCCAGTCCAGCAGCGGGGCTGATAAAAATGGCTTCTTAATATCTGAAGTGAGAAATGAAAAGCAGAATATATTTCAGGAGAGTGAAGCCATTTTGTCTCCAGTTCTTTAAGTTACAAGGGAAAGGTCCAGAAGCAGAGGTATGCTACTGAGAAACCTGCACATGTAAGAGTAAGGATAACACATACAAGCAAGGTGCTTGCCTCAGCCCTGCGCAGGATGTTTGTGAAATGAAGCACCCTGAAGAAATGCACACAAATCAGGAGTATGTTTCTACATGTTAGCTGGAATAGGGTAACTTTCACAACATTACAATGCCTCTTTTAAATACCTTCTTCAGTCTGTTCAGTGTCAGACATGCTTGAACTCCAGCCTATGAATTTGGGTTTATTAGCAGGAAGGATGAACAGTAGCAGGGCAATAAACACAGCAGGAGCAGAATCAGTGATATATCTAAAGGAGAAAAGAGAAGACAGCTTAGAAAATAAGACAATTGTCTTCCAAAAAATGGTTGCCTTCCAGCATTGCAATCAGTGTTCCTTGTCATTCTATTTGGGGTCTATATATTAGCAAAACAGATTGCTAGTTCATGACTCAGGTATCTTAGACCTGCCACAGCACAAACATCATAAATGAAATCAGCATACTATTAATCAAAATCACATATGAAAATGCTTCTGTAGGCAGGGTTACCTCCCTGGGAAGAAGACTCAAAGACTGTATTCCAATGATTTGAAAGAAAATTACCTGAAAGATCTTCCTATCACAAGTTTTATGTTCTTAATATACCACATTACGTAACATCAGCTGAAGAAGCTATTCAAAGCAAAGAATTGATTTTCCAGTGGTTTCTATACATGCCATTTTTTAGAGATGATAGTACCAAATACTTGAACACCACAGCTAATTGTAACACATGCAAGGAAAACACTGACATGTACTTCTGCATAACAGAGATAAGCATTGTAGAATTTTATCTTTCTTTAGGAAGCTCAGCCTGCCCCACGTCTCAGTCTTTAGCCTTCACTGCAATATAAACTGTCAAGTAGTTTGTAGATCTCATGCATGAGAGAAAATCCAGCCCAACAAACACAAATTCAAATATGGTTGGAATGAATGGCCTCCCCCTCCTCCCTCCCCCCCCAGTCAAAACAGAATGTAAGAGAAGGGGAATCTGATTCCCATCCAGGGGAGTATAGGATGAAAAAAATTCAAAACTTACTTTTCTCCTTCTGGAAAGACCCTGCTAGCCCAGCCTTTTACAAAGCCTGGGTGTCTGGAAAACCACAAGACAACCAGCAATGCAAACATTACGAGGACATTGAATTCAGCATAAGAGATAGGGCCCAATTTCTTCATTTCTGCTTTCAGCACGTTGTATGCAGCTTTTTCTTTAGCAGTTCTCACTGTCCCACACCCCCAGCTTTTTTTAAAGCTTTAAGAAAAGGGAGAAGAAAACACTGTAAGCATTAACATACTAGAGGAATTTACCATGCCTTCCACAATGAAGCTGTCCCTTCTCCGGACAGGCACAGACTAAAGCAGAGGGCAGGAACAGATAAATGATAGCAGTGTCAAAGTATTCCACATGCATGTGCCAATTTTCACAGAAAAATGGAGTCCATAAGTCTGTCCAATTTGGTGCAAGCAAGTATGAAAAACTCAGTGTTGAATCAAGGGCAGCAACATATAGGCATGCTCTGAAATTCTCAGATTTTAAATTGAAAAAGGCAATTCTGTCTGAACATTAACAACATCTTACACTTTTACCTAGTGTGACTCTCCCCAAACATAAAAGGTTTCCAGATTTCAAAAGCTGCTGTGAAATGCAACTGCTCCCAGTTACAGAATGAATAACTCGCTAGTGCTTTTGTTTTATCCAGAAACTTGCAAGTGACCTGATCTACATTAGATGAATGGTTTAAATGGTATGAAGTAGTTAAAAGCTTACTTGAATCCCATGAAAGAGCACTGAAGCCAAAGCCACGCTAACACCAACATCAGAATCATGTTTGGAAAGGCAAACCCAAACCAGGAAGCAAAATTCAGGACATCATTATTGTTGGGGTATAATCTGAAAAGAAAAATGTTTTCTGTATTATGTCAAAACAGTCAGTAATCTGCCTTCACTTCACTGTGGTGACAATTAGACGTGTACATTTGGGACAACCATTACTAGTAATCATAGGCAATACTCACTGCTTAACTGAATAGAAAGGCAGCTCTAGATTTCAGAATAGAAATTAAATGATACTGTGATAATGTGATAGTTTTCCCTACATCCTACTTTAAAGCAGACAGGAGAACTCACGCTGACATTTTAGGTCACAGTAAGACAAGCACTGCTGAAAGATCTCTCCATCTGGTCATTTATTCCATGATGTGTTTTTTCTTTCCTCCTCCCCCTTCTTAACTAATAGGAAAACGAGAATGTTCTTTTGAAGTTAATAGCTGCGCTTCTGCTCATTTCAGTAGAAGACATAGTTGCTACTTAGCTCAAAAGACTGAAGCCAGAGTTTTATGAACAACTTTCTGTTCTTCCCTACATCTACCCCTGGAGAAGAAATAGCAATAGCAAGTTCTCAAGTAGGTGATAAAACCAATGGATAATGTGGCTACTCCAGTTTAAGCACTCCAGTAGAAAGATGGAACGTTGAGCAACCATTGAGGAGTCCACAGAATTTTCACTGCGGAGAAGGTCGCATCTAAATAAATTCCTGCAGCAATTAGATAAATTAATACAGTGGGAAAAGTGTTACTACAAAGGTGTGATGACAGAAGGACCAGCACAATAGAAAAGGTCTATAAAAGAAGGAAAGAAGATCACTTACCCATATCAGAAGAGTCCGAGTTCACAACAGAAAACTCCACCGAGGAGAAAACTCCAAAAAGAGACCCTTCCCCAGTGGCAGCCAGCCCTCAAATGAGGTCTAAGAGAGGTGCAGCCAAGCTCCACCCCTTCCTGTCATCCAGGTGAATTGCCTTCACCTGTGCTCCCAGAGCTGACTGGGTCCTTTCCCCAGGTGCTTCATCAGTGGCTGAGGCTGTGACTCAACAGTTCCCATCTTAGAAAAGATTATTTTGTGGATAGCTCCTTTCTTTTAAAACAATGGCTATACAGTTTACTTAGCCACAGGGAGGAGAAATAATAATACAACATCAGCTAAACTATTTTTACCACTTTTCAGTGTGTTTATGAGAAGACTTAATCATACGTTCTTTTCAAGATCCACACTGCAGTTGCTCTGTTCACGTGCTGCCTTTTACTTGAAAAAGAGGAGGCAGAAGAAACAGTATCTCATATTCAGCCAGCTGTCAATTACCAACAAGTAATTCTAAGTTTCTCAGATCTGTCACACAGCTATCTAAAAAGTGCTAGAGCAGAAAAATATGGCCCATCACTTTACACACATTTCTCATTTTCAGTTCATCAGCTGGTTACTGAATAGTTTGATAACTGAAATGGCTACTATGACTTTTAATGTGTCGGTCACAAAACTGTGTGGCAGTAAAAGTAAAGAAATAGCAAGAGTGACTTACTGATTCATCTGGCCTTTCAATACCATGTTTGGCCCTGTTCCAGTCAGTGTTGCAGTTCCTCCAATGCTGGCAGCATAGCACACACACAGTGTCATTCCCTTACATATACGTTTCTTCATTTTCTTTTCCTCAGAAGATCTGGTGCCATCAGGAACTTGTCCATTGCTTATGACTAAATACAAAGAACATAACTTGCCTCAGGTGCAGTTAGGAAGGTGTAAAGTTCGTGTCAGGTCCTGCAGACTCAGTTCTTCCAGTTTGTGCATGCCAATTATTTTAATTTTAAAACCCCACAGAATACTCCCCAAATATTTCAGAATTATGTTCATGAGGTGCTGAGAAGAAAGACTGATAATCTGGCTCTACGTGATCCAAGGATGCTGTTGCCCATCTTGGTGCCACAGTTTCTAAGCAGCAATTTCCTATTTCACAGAGAGGCTTACCATCACCCAGAAACTGTAGTCATGAGAATCCTTTCAATACCACAGTAAGAACTCAAGCAGTTTAAGCAGCTGCAAATATGACAGAAAAAACAAACAAACAAAAAAAAGAAACAAAAAACCAACCAACCAAAAAAAAAAAAACCCAAAAAACAAAAACAAACAAACAAACAAAAAAAAAACCAAAAAACCCAAAAACCAAAACCACCCCAAACATAATTCTGGCCTGGCACGAACTGTTTAGATCAATGTGAAATTTTGCTGCTGTGCCCATTCTGCTCTGAGATTAACAATTTCATCCTTAAGTCTGACTGAGTGAGACAACGAATGTGTAGCAATTACAAATAATTTAACAATAGGTTATTCTTCACTCAAATTTGTTGCTTTCATTGCATGTTAGATGGAAATTAAGTAGCAAAGTCAAGTAGTTCCTTCTAAGGGCACAGAAATCCAGCAAAATTATTAACTCTAGTCTAAGTGCAGAAGTTTTTGAGACTCAAAAATAAACACTAAAAACAGCTAGGCAAACTTAAAAAATTATGTTAATACAACTGTTTGGAAGCTAGCAATGACAAAGCCTGAAGAGTACTCTCTGACCTATTAGTATTTTCTTGACTTGCATGAGTTACATAAACACATGCAATTGTGCCTGAGCTTTGCACAATTGTGCATTCTCCCTTCACTAGTGAGGCAAGACATCACACAACCAAAAAGCAGAGATTGCTGTTGTATCTCAGCTATCTTCCAAAGTCCAAACAAATATGGCAATTGAGTCAATATCATAACAGGGCAATGACTGGCACACGTGAACTGCCTTATACACTGCATCTTCCACAGACATATAATCCTTCTGTCCCAGGCAGAAGGTTTGAAGTGTGGGACATGGTATTCACTACCAATCTCTGAACTCATTCTTGTACACAGTCTCACAGGGAATCATGGCTGATCAAACTACTAATTCCATGAAATCATGTCCATGAAAATCACCAAAACATTTCTCCCTTCTCTGAAAGAGAAAGGCATCACAGATTGATTTTTAATAGTATTTAATAATATAGCCCTCTGTACTTGCACAATAGAGCAGTGAAATTGGAGAAACTCAATATGCGAGCTCTGAGTGTAACAAATTCAGTAGAATCAGTTAATTCCTTTAGCAGGCCCTTACCCTGCACTGGAGTGGGATCTGATGCATTCTTTTCCTCCAGCTCAATCACTGTATTTGTTTGGCCAGTTGCTTGTTCCATCATGGTCACATCATTTTCTGTGTTGTCCATTTGATCCAGGACAGCCTGAACAATGGGAACCATCATAGCAGTGGTTGCTGTGTTACTTATCCACATGGACAGGAAGGCAGTGACTATCATAAACCCCAGCATGAGGCTGAAAAGAGAGAAACAAGCAGAGGAGAGAGGAGGAAAAAATAGACACTGCTAGGCTTTGTAGTTACTTTAATTTAGAGAGCAGAGTCCAGACAGGGATGTGTGTAGTCTCTGATAATACAAAGCAGAGACAGATTCCCTGCTAGCTCTGCCGTCTCCATTGAAAGAATTCAAGAAAGGCATTTAGCTTATGCATGATTAAGTCTGCACCACCTTGTTCCCAGTAGCAAAAACACAGAATTTATCCAGATTAAAATAAAATGAAATGGCAGCTCTGTAGAAGTGAACTATAAAACTGTGTTTCTTTCCTGCCTATTGTCATTGTGACTGAAAACTGCTTTTGCATCTTGTAAACTTGGCTTTATCTGTAGATGCAAACTAATGGATACTGGATGCTCTTCACCACCACCACCTTTGCAACGCTTCTGGCTGTGTAACTGGCATCACTTAAGCATGACAGAAGGAGCACATGGCTTTTAGGTGAGGACCATATCTCCATTCACATAGATGTTGGTGGTGATGCTGCCTCAGTGATGACTTCAAGTCATGATAAAAAGATTTCATAGGAACTGTGAATGCCAGCACACACAATAATAGATCAGCTGGGTAGCAACAATACAGATGAAACCATAGCCTTGTGGTTGTACAGAGATTCAGCCTAAAACAAAGAGAAAGATTTATCTCACCTGTCTTCAGACAGGAACAAACAGATATTTGGATTCCACTCAGATACTTACTGCTTCGCAGTTGATAAGAACTTCTTGTGCATGAATCATCTGCCCTACTATAGACAAGCCTTTTTGACTATACAGACAGTCTAGCTATTTGAATCAGAAATAAATGCTTGTGTTTTGAAAACTGAATAACACTCAATAATCTTATCCAAGAATCAAACTATGGACCCAAGAGGAAATGTGAGAGACTGTAGAGATTGGAGCTGGTATAAAAATGAAAGTATTTTTATGCCATTCAAGTCAGCAGTCACAGGTGCCCTACCATTATTATGTTTTTTCATAAAGGGCAAATTAACTGATCCTGCAGAAGATTTCACCTCTGGAAACTCTGTACAAGTGGAGCAAAAGAGCTTCTTGGAACTTCTCTCCTGTGCTGACTCTCAAACATCATACCTAGGTCTCTGCTAAACTGACACAGGTAAAGAAGAGCTAATGTAACATTCTTACAGTGCAGGCTTCACCCCAAGTATCAGCAGGACTCTCAGCGCAATCCTTTTGTGAAGATTCCACCGTTCAACAGAAATTGCAACTATCAGCCCTCCAACAAAGAGCATATTTGTGTCATTTAGATACTGCAAGCACACCTGTAAGACAAAGAAGATAGATCAGAGGATCAAATCTTGTCACTTGCTAGTTTCACTAGTATTTCCTGCCTTCCTCTCAAAGCCATTTAGTGCACCAGGCCTCACCCCAACATTGTCAGAAAGAGCAGTGGCCTTAGAACTGCCTCCAGATTCCGGAACTCTTGATTCTCTTTTTTAGTGCTGAACAGCACTAAAGATACCAGAAATGCCAAATTCCAAAATAGATTTCCCAGAACTTCTAACAACCTCACCCATCCTAACTATTGCTGGCCAATAGTAAACCTGGGCTACAGTACCTAAATGTAGTGTCTCTCGCTTGGGCTAAAGCACTACTCTTCCACTAGCACAAACAGCCAATTATCCTTTAGCAGCGTGAGCTTCAGAGGGGACACAGTGTACTTGCTGGCACTGTACTGTCTACCCTGCCAGGGGAAGTTTGCCTCATGCATTCTGAAATCTCTCAGAAGATGTTAGCAATGCTCTCCAACTGGGTGGGTTCTGAACATACAAACTCCTGGCACTATTGGGATGTTTTCCATCAGGATCCATGCCCAGAGGACGTTTCCCTCCACCACCACAAGCCCCACATCCTTAATATTTTGGGAAAGTACATATTCGGTTCAGCATCTTCCCATACCAGAACCCTGCTCAACATGTTCAAAAACAGCCCCAGAAATTGAGTGCTTTCCTATCAGTGAGGGATCAGATCAATGGATATCCTTTTATCAGATATGGATGGAGTAAGAACGGTTGCTTACTGATTTAGAGCTCTGAACTCCAAGCAGAGGGAAAAATACAACTGGCATTAGGGAAGTAACAGCCAGTGGGATAACTTCAGTGCACCAGTACACAGCCATGATGATGATGATATATGCGCATTTGGCTTCCTGCAATATAATGGAAGACATATAAGTATAGAAAACTATTCTTACAGATAAGAAACACACTGCTATCTCTTCTAAGGGGAAACAAAGATTCAATTGTCTGTAGCTTAACAAGTTACACACAAATAGGTAGCAAGGACACAAAGAATTAAACTTGTACATTTTAAGTCTTGCTCAGAATTCAGTTGCATAAAAAGTCTTTTTGACCATCGTGTGCTTTCTAATGCCTTTAGGTAAAATGTAGGGCAAGAAAAAAAAACAAATCTTCCACAGCTAGGTAAGTACAGTTTGCAGTGTGCAATTACCTCTTGGCAGTTGAGGTAAGCAAATTTCACACCCAGGTGCCAAGAATTTCTAACGGTGTTTAAGATTTGGGCATTTCTATTTTTAGTAATCTATTTTTAAATGGATGCTTATAGATGAGTATTTCCTAGTATAGGTGAGAAGACTGATTGACATTCAGATGTATTTGAAGTGTGTCTTAGTAATACACTTGAACCCAGAAACTCACTGAACAATTTAGAACTATAACTCTTACCATTTAGAATTCTTAACTTTTTTTTTTTTTTTGAGTAGTTAAGGATATATGAGATATTAATTTGCTTTCCCAAATCATACTGTGTTTATCTAATAAGGCATCTAATTCTCTAATAAGTTATCTAGTAAGAGGATTCCCTCATCCTCTGATGTAACATGACTCTTTATACCATTGGTCACACATTTCTCTAACCTAGGCTTCCTTGGTTTGTACTTTCAAAATTGTTAGGAGAAGCAAGCATTCATTAGCCTACAGTAAACAATGTTTTAAAGCTTTAGTTAAGGCATTTTGCTCACAGTTTGTTCATATTTAGGGTACGTGTTTATAGGATCTGATTCTAATGCACAAATGGGACTTTATTGCAAAAATAAATGGTGTTACAGTGATATTTAAAAATTGCTGTAAGGTTGTATTTATAAACAGGGAGGAGTTGAAGAATTAGAAAACAGTCCTTGTAAGTAATTTTTTTTTCAGGTTTAGAGGAGATTAATTACAGGACAAGTTTGGAAAGAAATGTTTTATTAGAGAGTAGAAGATATCAGACAGATCCTATTTTAATTTCTTGATAAATGTAAGGTGAGCTTATGATTGAATTTAAGCTGTACAACAGTAACTAAGTGCAAGAAGATACTGTAGTTAATTTATTTTATAAGATGAAAGACACACAAACTACTCTAGGAGAATATTACTTTAAATAACACAATACAGAAAAAGCTGGTTTTGTACAGTGGAGAGTAAATAATTTACACGAAGTTCAAAAATACAACCATGTTTATAAATTAACTCAAACGTGTACAGCTAGATGAACAGCCAAAGTTCTGAGATTAAATAAGTAGGTGTATCCACATCTATATACATCTGTGATTTATGGGAATAGTGACAAAATATTTCCTTGGTGTGTCTGGACAGCCCAGAGCAATCACTATGACTAGTTTTCTCACTGAGAGCTGAAAAGCAGCTACTGATGGAAATGGTACTCTCCCACTGTGCAATATTGTAATTTTCCAGATAAGATTGATGACACAATATTCCTACAATTATTGGGAAACTGAAGAGATATTCTCTTTGTTTTCTTTTTTCTTTTTATTTATTTTTTTCCAGGAAATTGTCCTAGCATTGATCACAATAGTGCCAAACAGCCAGAAATACCTTTCCTCAAGGCACCAGCATTCAAGTGAAGAGCAAGGTTGTTATTAGACAGGTAAGCCAGAAGGTTTTTCTTTTTTCTGTTTTGTTTGTAAACAGGTTTAAAATACACCTGCATAATGCTCCTCCTGTAGTTTAAAATATATGGATCATTACACCCAGAAGAAAGACTGCATTTAGCCCTAGAATAGCTAAAGCCTTAGTAGGTGAAAATACTGTGAACAGAGGTTTCACATTTTCCCAAGAATGCTACAAGGTTTTAAAGATAAAACTCTTGGTAGCTCATTCCAGCTCCATGCTGGTGTAACTGCACTGAAACCAAAGGAGCTATGAGACCCCCCATCACCAGAGGAAGAGGGATGTGGAGTACATTACATTCAAACCCATCTTATAATCACTGCATAACACATAGTGCACGGCTTCCTAGTGCTTCACTGGATGAAGAATGGCACTCAGGAGCATTCTTAAAAGCATCTCAGTGTCTCAGCAGCAGGCCTAGAGAGCCCAGAAGTCCCCCCTTTCAGTCCCCTAACTCCTCACTGACAGTTATTCCTAGATAACCTCGAGTGCAATTCTACATGTCCAAGCCAACTATGTATATATATTTATCTCTGGGTCAAAAAGAATTGTACCCAGTTTGCAAGATGGGTTGGGTCTGTGGGAGCCCAGGCTCTGGCATATTCCTTTGGATGAACAAATGGGCATGGAGCTCCTGTTTTGGGCTTCTTATGTGAGCTCCACTGCCTAGCACCAGCACCACTTGAAGATTATTAGGAGCAAAAGCAGTAGAACACATCCCTGAGACCCAGGACTGAGAGGCTAATTGAGCTGTGAATAAACTCCTCTGAGACGGTGCCAGGAAGGTGCTACTTCAGCGGCCACTCAGGTGGCATAGGAGATACAGCGCCAGGGACCGAACGGGCAGCGCTTTACACAGCGACCGCCCGCTCCGGGGGGATCCCCACACGAACCTGAACCGCGCCTGCCTGCCGCGCTGGGTCAGGGGCAGCTGCGGGGCTCGGCCCTGGGGGCCGAGTGTGGGTGGGTTCCTTTGGGGCAGCGGGTCCCCGCTCGGAACCCGCAGGCACTTACCCGCGTGGGCACAGTGATCGGCAGCGGCAGCAGCAGCAGCGGTGCGAGCAAGAGGATGGCGAAGGACCGGTACCTCAGCAGGGGCCGTGGGCACGTCGAGGCCATCTTCTGTGGAGACACGCGGACAGGGCGCGAGCGGCACGGCACCCGCTTCCCGCCGCTTTAAGTAGTGGGCGGCGGGGCCGCAGCGGGAGGGACATGGCGGGGGCGACGCGACCCGCCCGCGCCCTGACGGGACACCAGGTCCGCCCGCGCCCGGACGGGGCCGGGCTTGCGCAGAGCGGTGCCGACGCGGCCCACGAGCGAGACAGCGGGCGGAGAGATGCCGTCGGGCGCCAGCCCAGCTGCCCTGCCCCGCACCCGCCCCACCGAGTGGGGTCAAGCGGTCCTGCAGTTCCCCCCTCCCCCAGGAAGCCCTGGGGGACGCGAAGCAGGTGTCCGCAGTTCCTGTCCGACAGCTGGGAGATCTCGGCGGGACCCGGAGCGAGGTCGAATCCACCAGCTCGGTCTCTATGGGGTCCCGTCCATAAAGGGGGGCTTTCCCCTCGCTCCATTCCTCTCAGCAAACAAGGAAAGCAGCTCGATAGCCGTGTTCCAAATTATCGCCCCAACTGGGAGAATGTTCAGGAAAATCTCTCTGTTCATAGTGCCTGTAAAAAGCCACCAGTGACCACTGATTCTCCTATTGCACGTTACCTGCAGGACCAAATCCTTGCCTAGACTTCTTCAGGTGCTGGATGCACAAGTTGATGGCAAGGGAGGACCATCTCTCATTTACACAGTGGCGGGGAAGGACAGAGCAGAGCTCCCCTGGGGAAATGCAGAGTTAATCCTGCAGTGTGGATCTCCCTAAAACAAAGGCCTGTGCAGGCATGCATGGTTGTGTTTCATTGCCTATCATTTTATGAGAGATTTTGTGTCCGTGATCTGGGTTAAAAATATCCCAGAAAGGTTAACCAAAAAAGTTATTTTTAAGCTGTACCGTTCCAGTGATTAGGGTTGGTTTAGCCTATACAAAATCAGAAGTGACAGCACTACTGAGAGGATGGCAAGCACTGCTGACATGGCAGAAAGAAATGATTGGAGTGGAGAAGGGAGGGATTGGGCACCAGACAAAGAATTCTTCTGTGATGACAAAAGCCACCTGAGATGGAAGACAGCAAAGATGACAATTTGATTGTGTGGACTCTGTACAGTCATATCAAGCAGTTACTCTCAGACATAAAGAATTTCAGATTCTACAGCAAGTAATGGGGGAGCTCCGACTATAGATTACGCTATTTGTCTTCTGTTGAGTGGAGGATCTTGAGTGTTTGAAGTTCAAAGCAAGACACTCCAGTGTTACTGTTCTGTTTGTAAAAGCAATGAGTGTTCATTAAGGAAAACAGGAGCAAACCGGATCTGTACAAATTCCAAATATTCAAACTTTTAGCAGCAATCCCCCTGGGTTACTTACCAACAGAGAGGAAACTTCACACCAGCACAGAGCCTAGCAGAAAGTGAGGAATCAGCCAAAACCTGCATTCCTGTGTCCGGTTTCCAGTGAAAAATACTCCCTAGTCAACAAAGAAAAGCACTTGAATGAGAAAATGGAAGGAGTTAACTCTAGAGGTTTAGTGATAGAGTTCACTTTGTCTGACAGATTAATGTAAATATGATTTATTATCTTCTGCTGTTTATATATTGACTGTTTAGCAGAAGGGGGTTCATTTGGAAGGAGAAAGGGAGGGATAAACTGAGTTCAGAAAATCCAAATTTATGGCTGATCATTTCCAGCAACTGGCCAAGCTCACCTGATGACATAACCTGCAGTTTCTTAGCCAGTTGTACTGGGACTCATTGGAGTCTCCTCTCAATTGATGTAGCACAAAATGAACCCAACAAAAAAAGCAGAGTTTTCTGCTGAGTTAGTGAGCTGAATATGTTCAGTGAAATGTTCAGTGAGCTCCAGAGCCAGCTCAAGGGACTGGGCCAGTTATAGCTTGAGTAGGAACAGTAACAGAAGCAGAGTCAGCTCCTTTAGAGACAGCAGATTCATAGATGAGCTTAGCAACACTGTCAACAACATGCAGAGCCTTGTGATCTTCCTTTCTGTATTATAGATACCAGAACAGATGGCATTTACATACAATGTGAGTCACTGTACAGAGTTTCACTCAGAAGTGGGACACTGCTGGAGGCTCATTAACAAACACTGGCCTGCATTGTTTGGGTTAGTAGAAAGGGACTATATGTCAAATTTCCTTGGGAAGTAGGAATTCCAGAATCAACCATCCAGGTAGGAAAAATGAAAAATAAAAATTTTAGTATAGAAGCTACTTTTCTGATTTTTCTTATTACCATTCATAGCAATTAGTCTCAGTATTGCTGGATATGAATAGTTTGTGGGAAGGAGGCTTTACAGAAAGCAGTTGATACATTGAATTACAGATAAATGTATTTTCTGCCTTTAATTCAGGTGCTGTCCAAGTATACAAATACAGTTTGCTTGTTTAAAAAGCAATCTATTTGATCTAGATAGCTGCTATTCCTCTCAAGACAAAAAACACTTCACAGTTTCATTTTTAAGTTATTTCAGTGTTGCAGGCTCCATGCAACACACAGAGGTACAAAAGTTTAACAAAATTATATTAAATGAGGACTATAAGACCTCTAATACTTGGCACTGAGACAGAAAAAGCAAAACAGCTCACTTTAAGGCATTCTAGGGCAGCAGAAAAACATCAGTCTTCTACAGAGGCTTTTGAAAATCTCATTTTAAAAAACAGCTGGAGTAGAACTTACCTCTGTTTGAAGCTTGCATTAAAATGATGCCTAGAAGAGGTCTTGTACAATAACGTTATGTACTGTAAGTTTTCACAGAATTTAAATTGAAAGAGTTATTTCCAGCATTCAGCAAACATCACTGCTTCCTTACTTTCTGCTTTTCCTCCAGTCAGTACTTTCACAGCCACTGACAGTCCACTCTGCTGCTTTAGGAATATCTTTCAACTAAGTTCCCAGTGGAGCATCTGATATTTTTCCAAGAAAAGCTTTTCAGACTCTGAACGAACAGTCCTTTCAGTACAAACCCTGTGCCCAACAACTCTCTACATAAAAGCCCTCATTATGAATATTGAGTCAGTGGGGCTTTCTCAGTCAGTGTGTGTTGCTGATCAGGCATTCTTGACCTAGAATTGGTATTTCTCATATAGTTTGCAAGAAGCCCTAAAGCATATTAAAATGTGCACCACATAAAAAGTAGTGTAGACTAATGACTACAAAAAAGAAAAAGGGTAAAGAAAAGAAAAGAAAATGAAATAAAATCTTTGATTTGGAATTGGCAATCCTATAACCTCTCCCTTAGCTGCCATCTCATTAACATATTTGTTCAAAAGACTCTTCTCTGCTTCATTACATAATTTGTATCACAAAATTCATACAAATGTTCATTATTCCCAGATCTAGACAATGGCTCACACGCCTTAATTGATCATCTTTTTCTTTTCTTTTTTTTCTTTTCTTTTCTTCCTCCCTTTCCCCTCCCCCCCCAGCCCTCCCCCCCCAACTTTTTTTTGTCCCTTTTTTTTCCCAGAAATAAATGGGGGGCAGAGAGTGTTTTTTGGTATGGGAACTGAACCAGACCAATTTCTTACTAACATCTGGGTCATCTGTTGTATGCACCATTATAGTACATTATACAAACACTAGCGAATGATTCTTCCCAATACCTCTGCGAAATAGAAGTGTTAATATTATTGCCCTGTTTTATAGATACAGAACATAAACTTCTATTTTCTGCATCTCCTGTACCTACAGTTCCATACCTGGTAGGATCTATAGCATCAGGGAAGAGCTCCTTATATCACGCTTCTGTAAAGTATCAGTTGCAATAACAGGTACAAGAAATGCTAGGCCTTCATCATGAGGTCCTGGAGATGAGTACTGGTATTGAAATGAAGATAGAAAATTCTGTTTCTCTCTAAATTACATTCCTTTAAAAGATCTCTGTGTAAAACTGTGCACTTGCATGAGCCCCCAGCTGAGATCAACTGATGGGCAGGACTTGCTGCACCTGTGTGAGCAGCCCTGCTGCAAAGGCTTAGTGAGGTGGGGCTGTCAGCCCAATGCTGGGCTTCTGCCTGTGCTGTTGGTGGGCAAATGTTTTCTCTCCACCAGCTGGCAGTTTTTGTTTGTGATGAGAACTGCTCTGACTTGGCTGGACAAGCCCCAGGGGTTTGAAATGGGTTTGTAAGGCTGGATGCTAGTGAAACTGCCGCTCCAGAGGTGGAGGGGGGCCACAGCATACCCCAGCCCTCCTTGCTTGCTGCAAGCCAACCATGCAGCAAAGGTCCTGTAGCTCTTTGACCAAAACATGCTGAGAAAACAGTGGCCATGGTGACATCAGCCAGGCTGTGACAAAGCATAGAACCCAGGGACACAGACCACTGCAGGTGGAGCCCACCATCCACACGGCAGCCCTGCTGACCAGGGGCTGCCCCCTGCCTGCAGTCCCTAGGGTTTGTATTGTGCTGCTGCCTATCCCTCTCTGCTGGCAACCATCCAGACTACAACCTTGTAAGCTGTGATGTCATAGTTATCAGCAAAATATTACTGGGGTGCGTTCACAGGTGGGCTGCCACAATACCTGCAAGCAGGTGCTGATGCTACACCTATGCTGCTCCCAGCACAGCTACAGAGTGATATGGGGCGATGGGGCCTCAGAGCTGGCTGTGGTTATTACCACTCCAGGCACAGAGAGAAAATGCTGCCCTGTGGCCCTGTTTGCACTGGGCAGGAAGGAGTTATGGAGGTCGTCTAGACCCAGAGGCCTCTCTGTGCAGTTGTCTTCTTGCAGTCTCAATTTTATTGGGTCACAAAGGAAAACCAGTGCACAATCTTTCACAAAGAGAGCCTAACCATTTTATACTGAAAGATTGTAGGGGATGTTCTGAATGAAGTTTGTGTAAAACTTCTGATAGATGTCCTTGTAACTTCTTAAAAATTCATTCAGATAGCAAATCCATTTAATTGTTCATCCATCTTGACCATGGCAAACTTCTGCTGATGTAAGATTCACCACTCTGAATTATTCTGCACTGGGCTAATAAGTACAATTTTGCAGAGGAAGTGCATCTGTAGGAGCTAATACTCAGAATATCACTAAGCTCTTTGGATTCCAAAACATAGTGGGTTCCCATGAGGTTCTTGGAGTGACTCAACAGGTAGTTTTATTAATAATGTAATAAAAAAGGCTAGGTTTTCATGTTAGTATTAAGAGGAAGCCTAGTTCAAGTCAAGAGAAGGAAAAAAAAATATAGGTTTCTCCACAATTTTTCTTTTTCTTATTTTTCAAAAGCAAGAAAGAGAGTGTTTCACAGATTCTTGGAGTTAAGTTTGGAAAGGATCTCCAGAGATCATCAGGTCCAATGCTCCTGCTCAGTAGGGATTCCTAGAGGAGGTTACCCAGGACCATGTCCAGACAGCTTAAAAAGATTTACAAGGGGGGAGACTCCATTACCTTTCTGTGAGAGCTACTTTCCAGAAACCTACTAAAAAAATCCATGACTGTTTGCACTTAAATAATATATTCTTCAAGAAATTCATTAAGCAAGCACTGCTTCAGAGCCAGTATGTTTACAATCTCTTGCCTCACACCTGCACATACACATTGTGCCTCTCGAATTATGCTACTCTGAACAGGGCAGTACCTTCCCTACTGTAAGCAGAGATCAGCACAAAGATTTCACAGAACGCACGTTCTGTCCAAGGCCAGTCTGTCTATCCAGTACTGTGTGAAATCTTAGAGAATTGTTTCAGAAGACAGGAAGAAAAAGTGATTTTTTTCTCCACAATAAAAATTGCATCTTCAGTAGAACTATATTGAGATAGATATATAGAAAGAATTGATATAGTTATCTTGGATAATACTTCCAGCTGAGCTTGAACTGATTTATAGGTAGTGAGTCTCTTTCTTCACTGTATCCCAAATAGGGTGTGAATCATATCACTTCTCTTTGCTAACATTCCTGTCTGTGTTTCAGTTTCTAAGCAGTATCATTTACTTTCAGTCCAATTAATTAAATGAGTAAATGTAGTTTTTCTCAGCCTGTCCTTTTCTGCTTGGTTCAATAAACGAGCTTTTACTTCTTTGTCTAAAACTTTCCTCTTCTGCTGAATGAAAGAAAGTACCAAAGTGAGAAATAGCGAGTTTGTCTGGTTTTGAATTACAGGACCCAAATCTTGAATTGAAAGTAATCCATGATTGTTACATGGATTATTTGACTTGCACTGTGTTTCTTTATGTTGCTCTACTGAGAAATGACATATAGACAAAAGGGCAACAAAACTGAAACTCTAAAAAACCTTTTAACTCTGCTTCATTTTGCAGAAGACTCCCTCTAGGGTACTCATGATTAAATCTGGAAATAGAGAAACATTTTCAGACTGAAACTTCACCTCAGCTTTAGCAAAAGGCACCAAAGGTCCAGTAACTTTATCAACAAAGAATAGAAGTGACTTGCTACTGCAGATCAAGAGCAAAGAGTGACTCTGATTTTAATTCCTTATCAAAAGAAGCTTATAACAGGTTTCACCAAAAGCTCTAGTAGTGATGAGGTCTCAGTGGCTGTTGTCATTTCAAATATTCCCGAGAAAGCTTGCCTTAGGAACTTTTTCTGCATCAGCAGGGAGTTTATTTAAAAATGTTTCTTCTGAGGGAGGGGAAGAAACAAGGAATTAAGAAAAGAAAGAAAAGGAATGAATGAAAAGGAAAGAAAAGAAAGGAAGAACAAAACAAAAACAAAAACAAAAAAAAACAACCTGAGGGGACAGCAAGCAGAGCAAGCAGCTCACACGTCTGAGTGTCACCAGTTGCAGAGCGCGGTGCTGTGGGTTGCCCTGCGCAGGGCAGCCACAGGTCACACCTTGCGCAGACAGTAACCAAAAGTACCACAAAACCGGCGTTAGAGCAACATTGTTACTACCATTATTTTGGAAGGGTGGCGTGGAAGAAAGCCCGGTTTACTCATCGGGCGTCAGCTCCCGCCAAGCAGCAGCAGGATCGGAGCAGGGCGTGCTGCAGTGCCGCCATGCGGCTCGCGCCGGTATTGGCACGCGCCCACCGCCTCGTGGCGGCACGAGACGTTGGCCCTGGGGAGAGAGCGGCCAGGCACTGCCGCACAGCGCGCCTCCTGCGCCCAGCCTCAGTGAGCACTTTCTCATTTACTCTTAGGCTGTATAGCTTTTGGTACTCTTATCACGCCCAAAGTCTTGCCATGACGTGCTGTGGGGAGAAAGTCCTTGTGTGCAAATCTGAGTGCCAGCTGCTAGCACTTTGTCTCAGCAAAAAGAGAGCCACTTGTGAACAACCAGAACGGACGAGCCAAATGAAAGTATGCCTTGTGGATGTGGACAGCGTGACTCAAAGGTAAGGATGGGAAGCAGCTTTCCTTTTTCTCTCGGTTTCAAAATTCCCTGGATTTGCAATCCAGTGTGCCAGGTGGGAATGGCTGCGGTCACAAGGTGGCAGCAGAGCACCGATGAGCTCTTTGCTGTCCAACAGGCTCTGTCCGTTGAAGCTCGGCCTGGGTTTGGCCTGGCCGGAAGAGCTTGAACACAAACCGGTGAGACCCTGACAACGGGCACGTTCACTTAGCTTAGCAATTAGGTGTTCGGCTTTTTCTTATTTTCAGTGTCTTTAAAAACTAATAGATTGTATTTACAATCAGGAAACGATTGCCAGACTAACAGTACAATTCTGAGAAAGAAAATGGAGCTTAGCCTCACCAGGACAGAAGAATATGGCATCGTGTTCCTGAAATACTGCTGGGTGTTTCAAATACACTGGTTTTAGGGATTCCGCTTGGAGCTTAAGGAACGTTTTTATGCCTAGGAATTGTAAGGAGGAAGTTCTTTTCTGTATGAACTGGCCTCTCAAAATGCATTTTTAGAGAACAATCTTTCATCACACTGAAAGCTTTAATACCAATCTATGAGATACCAGGGTAAAGCCCAGTTTGTACCTGTCCATTACCTACGTGTTGTATGCTGGTGGCCTTCCCTCCACTACATTGTATATATCTTGATTTTACACGAAGGCTGATCTTGTTTGAAGACAGGAGTTTTGTGTGTACGAAAAAGAGCAAAGCCAGATGGTATATCCTACTCCCAGATAGTGTTGTGATTTGAAAGAAGTGTCATAGGAAGCAGATGGCACTAAATGAAGAAAATAACTTGACAATATATACAGCAGAGAGCTGATGGGGATAAATCCGATTATCTCTTTTTGGGTTTGCCCACTGCTGTTTCACAGTGGTTCTGTTGCAAGGGCTTACGTGGGATCTCTACTTATTACTCTCTCCTGTGAGATGTGGATTTTCAACAGTCCACAAGTAAAAGTGATCCATTAAAAGCCAACACAAGGCCCCCAGACTACTACAGAGTATGTTTAGAGAAAAAACAAAGAATGTATTTTTACAAACCATACCCTACTATTTAACTTTCATAGTTACTCATGCTTGACAGCTTTTCACTAGCAATACTGCATCTGAGTTTGAGATCCCAACACAAGAGGGCCATGGATTATGTATTAGTGCAGGTCCAGAGGATGGCCACAAAAAGGATTAGAACAGCCTTCCAGTATCAAGGGGGGTCTACAGGAAAGAAGGAGACCAAGTCTTTATCAGGGAGTGTAGTGATAGCACACTCTGAAAGAGGGTAGATTTAGGTTAGACATTAGGAAGAAATTCTTCTCTGTGAGGGTAGCGAGGCCCTGGAACAAACTACCCAAAGAATCCGTGAACAGCCCTGGAGGTTTCAAGTCCGGGCTGGGGGGCGGCTGCCCAATCTGGTGGGTGGTAGAAAAAATGTTGTAGAATTACATGTAAATAGTAGGGGAGCTTGAGTGTTCAATAAATTTGGTGATTGCCAGTGACTTCAGAGCTATGAAATTTCTTTGATTTCAGAAAGGCACATCTCC